CTTTCCCTATGTTGGCTAGGCTAGTCTTGAACTCCTGGCCTCAAGTGATCTACCTACCTTGGCCTCCCAAAGTGCTCAGATTAGAGGTGTAAGGCACTGCACCCAGCCTTCTTCTTATTCTTGATTTACCTGCCTACACCTATTAGTTTCATTAATCTTTTTAAATAATCTGCTTTTGGTTTCATTGTGTTTCATTTTCTGGCTGTTCATTTCATTTGATTGTGCTTGAATTTTATGATTTATTTTCTCTTCTTTGCTTATGTTTTTTTCTTCTTTCTCTGGTTTTCTGATGTGGAAGATTATATTATTGACTTAGATCTTATTTTTTTTTAATTTGTTTTTTTGATATGGTTTCTCACTCTGTCACCCAAACTGGAGTGCAGTGGCACAGTCTTGGCTCACTGCAACCTCCAGCTCCCAGGTTCAGGCGAGTCTCCTGCCTCAGCCTCCCGAGTAGCTGGGACTACAGGCCCATGCCAGCACACCCAGCTAATTTTTGTATAGAGATGGGGTTTCACCATATTGTCCACGCTGATCTTGAACTCCTGACCCCGTCATCTGCCCGCCTTGGCCTCCCAAAGTGCTGGGATTATAGGTGTGAGCCACCACATCTGGCTGACTTAGATCTTATTTTCTAATGTATACATTTAGTGCTACAAATTTTCATTTAAGCACTACTTTTGCTGCATCCCAGTTTTGATAAGTTTTTTTTCACTCTCATTTATTTAAATGTATTTCTTCATTTGTCTTGAGATAACCTCTTTAAACTATGTATTAGCTGTGAGTTGTTAAATCTCCAATTATGTGGTATTTTCCAGCTGTTTTTCAGTTATAGATTTCTAGTGTAGTTTGATTCCATTGTGAACTGAGAGCATATTTTATATTTTTTCTGTTCTTTCAAATTTGTCAGTGTGTGTCTTATGGCCCAGAGGTGATCTTTCTTGGTAATATTTCATGGTGAGCTTGAGGGTAACATGTATTCTGTTGTCGGTGGATGGACTGTTCTGAAAATGTCAAATTAAGTTAACTGATAATGCTATTCAAGTTAACTATCCCCTTACTGATTTTCTGACTGCTTCATCTATTGGCACTCATCTATTTTGGGGACTCAAAAAAGGCTATGGAGCTCTCAAATTATAATGGTGGACTTATCTATTTTTCCTTCTAGTTCTATCAGTTTTCCGCTCAGAGTTGTTGATGCTGTTTTGTTAAAGATAATTATTTCTTCTTCAAGAATTGGGGCCGGGCACGGTGGCTTATGTCTGTAATCCCAGCACTTTGGGAAGCTGAGGCGGGTGGATCTCTGATGCCAACAGTTCAAGACCAGCCTGTCCAACATGGTGAAAGCCTGTCTCTACTAAAAATACAAAATACAAAACGTCCCATCATGCAGCCAACTTGATGGCACTATCACTCTCCCTCTCCCCTTCCCTCTCTCCTCCCCCTCCCCCTCTCCTCCCCTTCCCTCTCCCCTCCCCCTCCCTCTCCCCTTCCCTCTCCCCTTCCCCTCCCTCTCCCCTTCCCTCTCCCCTTCCCTCTCCCCTTCCCCTCTCCTCCCCCTCCCTCTCCCCTTCCCTCTCCCCTCCCCCTCCCTCTCCCCTCCCTCTCCCCTCCCTCTCCCCTTCCCTCTCCCTTCCCCCTCCCTCTCCCCCTCCCTCTCCCCTCCCTCTCCCCTCCCTCTCCCCCTCCCCTCCCTCTCCCCCTCCCTCTCCCCCTCCCTCTCCCCCTCCCCCTCCCTCTCCCCCCTCCCTCTCCCCCTCCCCTCTCCCTCTCCCCCTCCCCCTCCCTCTCCCCTCCTCCCCTCCCCCTCCCTCTCCCCCTCCTCTCCCTCTCCCCCTCCCTCTCCCCCCTCTCTCCCCCTCCCCCCTCCCCTCCCCCTCCCCTCCCTCCCTCTCCCCTCCCCTCCCCCCCTCCCTCTCCCCTCCCCCTCCCCCTCCCTCTCCCCTCCCCCTCCCCCTCCCTCTCCCCTCCCCCTCTGCCCTTCCCCCCACTCTGTCCTTCCCCTCTCCCTCCCCGTCTGCCCTCCCCCTCTGCCCTTCCCTCTCCCCTTCCCGTCCCCTGCCTCTCCCCTCCCCCTCCCTCTCCCCTTCTCTCTCCCCTTCCCTCTCACCTCCCCCTCCCTCTCCCCTTCCCTCTCACCTCCCCTCCCTCTCCCCTTCCCTCTCCCCTCCCCTTCCCTCTCCCCTCCCCTCTCCCCCCCCTCTGCCCTTCCTTCTCCCCTCCCTGTCCCCTGCCTCTCCCCTCCCCCTCTGCCTTTCCCTCTCCCCCCGCCTCTCCCCTCCCTCTCCCCTCCCTCTCCCCCTGCCTCTCCCGTCCCTCTCCCCCGCCTCTCCCCTCCCTCTCCCCCCGCCTCTCCCCCCGCCTCTCCCCTCCCTCCCCTCCCTCTCCCCTCCCTCCCCCCCCTCCCCTCCCTCTCCCCTCCCTCCCCCACCCTCCCTCTCCCCTCCCTCTCCCCTCCCTCTCCCCCCACCCTCCCTCTCCCCTCCCTCTCCCCCCCCCCCCCCCCCTCCCCTCCCTCCCCCCTCCCCCCACCTCCCTCTCCCCTCTCCCCCCACCCTCCCTCTCCCCTCTCCCCCCACCCTCCCTCTCCCCTCTCCCCTCCCTCTCCCCACACCCTCTCCCCTCCCTCTCCCCACACCCTCTCCCCTCCCTCTCCCCACACCCTCTCCCCCTCCCTCTCCCCTTCCCTCCCCCTCCCCTCCCCCTCCCCCTCCCTCTCCCCCTCCTTTCCTCCCTTTGTCTCCTCCCCTCCCCTTCCTTCCTTCCTTCCTTCCTTCCTTCCTTCCTTCCTTCCTTCCTTCCTTCATTTCTTTTTTGAAACAAATCTTGCTGTGTTGCTCAGCATGGAAAGCATTGCCAAAATCATGGCTCACTGCAGCCTCAACTTCCCAGGTGCTAGAGAGCCTCCCACCTCATGCTCTTGGGACTACAGGTACATGCCAACACATCTAGCTAATTGTTTTTTAATTTTTTTTTTGGTAGAGACGGGGGGGTCTCACTGTGTTGCGCAGGCTGATTTCAAACTCATAAGCTCAAGGAATCTTCAAACCATGGCCCCCGAAAGTGTTGACATTTTAGGCATGAGTTACCATGCCCATCCTGCATATGAAAGCCTTGTGAGATATATGATATGCAAATATTTCTCTCATTTTGTGCGTTTCCTCTTTTGTTCTGTTGATTGTTTACTTTCGTGTACAAACGTTTTAGGTTTGATGTAGTCTTTCTTACGTATTTTTGCTTTTGTTGGTTATACTTTTAGTGTCATATTCAAAAAATGATTGACAAAAACAAGGAGGGTTTCCATGTATTTTCTTCTAGTTTTACAATGTCAAGATGTATCTTTAAATACTTTATTTATTTTGAGTTGATTTTTGTGTATGTTGTGAGGTAAGGATACAGTTTCCTTTGTTTTTTTTTTTTAAATTTGTGGATATCCAGTATGCCATATATGATTAGTTAGAGAAACCATGCTCTGAGCACCCATGTCAAAGATACATTGAGTGGAGTACATGGATTTATTTCTGCATTCTTCATTCTTTTCCATTACATTATATCTGGTTTTTGCCAGTATTCTAGTATTTTTAATTACTATAGCTTTGTTATATAGTTGGAAATCATTTTGGGTCTCTTGTGGATCCAGATAAATTGTACGATTTTTTTCTCTATTTGTGGAAAAATGTGATTGTGATTTTGATGGGGATTGTACTGAATCAGTAGATAACTTTGGGTAGTGTGGTATTTTGACAATATTAATTAGTCCTGGTGGTGGTGTTGAGGCGGTGTTCACCTGAGGGCATTGGGGTGAGTGATAGTGCTGTCAAGTTGGCTCCATGATGGGACGTTGCCTGGGAGGTCAGTGCATAAAAATCCTGTGGATGTGATCAGGGCAAGGGTGATGAAAGGTGATGTGTCCTGTCTGCTTCGTCCTTGTAGGGATCATCCTGTAATAAAAGGAGGCATTAACTTCGGATGTCCTGAGGGCATGGTGCAGGCACCAGGCCTGAGTGGAGGGGAAGAAGCTCATGTCTTGAGGTGCCTTGGCTATATGGGGAAGACTGCCCCTTGGCTTGATGCCGAGATTCAGACTGACGGGCTGACTGTTGTGATGGCACTCTCCAGTGCTAGTGGTGGTTGGTTTTCGGCTAAGTACACCTCACCTGGGAGAGTGGCCAGAGACAATGTCAGTTCCAGACATCAGCAGCCCCAGGAGGAGAAGCGTGTTCTCGCGCCAGGAGTGGTGGCTGTTAGGCGAGGGACCTCAGACCTATGTCTGCATGGCCTGACATCAGAGATCACATCCTACTGATTGAAGACCTTGTTCTTGAGCTGTCGGGTTGCCGCAGGGTCAGGCCTGGAGGCTGCAGCCTATGATGGCCCTTTGCAGTGTTCGGAAACATATGTGCACCCCAGGGAGGGACACACACACACACATACACACATACAATGAAACAACACACAGACTCAAAATAACACACACACACACACACAGTCTCTCTCACACACACACACGAGCCCACAGAAAAAGGCAGATAGACACAGAAGCAGGCGTGTGCAGTAGTTCTGGCCACACATACTCCCTAGGTGTCCACAGAATGACATGGGTAAGGTATATTCATAAAGTTGGAGATCAATCATGGAGGCCAAGGACAAGCAGTTGCACTAGTTGACCTGCGCGAGAGAATGGCATGGAAGTGGTGAGCAGTGTACCTGGGCCTGTTCTCAAGTGTATATTTGATGTCTTTACGATTCCCTGGAGAAGTTGCCTTGGGAGGCCCACCGCCTGCTCGCAAGGAAGATGGTTGATTCTTCTGAGCAATGGAGGCCCTGCAGAGTCCTGCAGTCACTGTGGCCTGGTGTCCATGGTGCACCCAATGCTGGTGGATGGCTTAATATGGTAAGCGTTTCTCTGCTCCACGTGCTGAATGAGGGTGGCTTTTGGATGTCCTAGACCTTCAAGGAGCTGTTTCTCAGCAGCAAATGGCATGACGAGTTCCACTCCTAGAGTGAATGGTCTGTGCCCATTGCTCAGTGATGTGGCTCAGGCTTCCCCAGCATGCTGAATGTCTTTAAGGTCATCGACTCACTCCTTCCCGGCCTGTGGTGTCAAACGTCCTGCCCCTTTGAACGTGCTTGGATCGATGATGAGTCCCCTATAAAAACATTCCTTGGAAAAGCTGAACAAAATGAGTGAGAACTCATACCGTCGTTCTCATCGGATCTGAGGTCCAGCACGTTGCCTCCCCCGGGGACTGTAGGAGTGAGGGGCAGCTTCCACTGGTTCCCATAGGTTCCACCACCCAGGGCATCCGCAGACAAAAGTCTCATGTCACAGGCACATTAGGAACATTCCCTCTGTGTGAGGTACATGGGTGGGAGAGTCATGGGGCATTCGGCCGCTCTGTGATGGCGTGGTGGCCGTGGAAGCAGGCAGCAATGTTGCCAGCATAGGGGAGTGTGCTGCTGGTGAGCTCCCAGAAGGAAGACCCAGACTTCACAGTGGTCATCTCAGTGCGGAAGACCTGGTGTCTGTTTTCATGTGGAGGAGAGCCCGAGGCCCAGACCTCAGGCAGACCTTGGTCTTGATTTTTGATTAGTTGAGAACAGGGGAGTGCCAAGGTGATAGGGGAGAGTGCAGAGCAGTGTCTTGGCAGACAGTGAAAGCCTCTTCAGCCCACCCTGCAGCATCGGTCACAGGAGCCCCCCTGGAAGGGATTTCTTTGCCTCCTGAGCTGTGAGATGCCTGTGGTGCAATGGTGGAGTCTTGAGCAGGAAGGTACTCCAGAGAAAGGTGATAGAGGGCTCACAGGGACACGAGTGTCATTAGCAGACTTGGGCTGTCTTTTGGCGGTGATGGACTTTCCATGGATTTTTCTGGTGGATGACAGGTTGGCTGGCAGAGGTCTTTGAGGCCAGATCATAGGGAGCATGAAGATTAAGTTGGTGTCTGTGGCCCTGGATCACTTCCAGCCTTCCCAGGAGAGTAATGGGCTCCTCTGTTGTACAAATCTCCCTATAAATTGTCTCTTGGCCCGCCATCGTTGGGCAGCTCCACCTGCTGCAGCTCATGTGAGCAAATACTGCTCTGGATCCTCTTTCCTGCTTGTAAAGCAGCTTCCGTCCTGAAGGTCCGGAGTGAATATGCCCTGCCCTGCCTCTGGCCCAAGTCTCTGCCGTGGGCACTGGTCACACTTGGGGCTATCCAAGGAGGTCTGTGCATTCCATGCAACGCGTGTGCAATCCCAGGGGTGCTGCCACAGAGTCCTTTGACTTGGGATGCCTTGCACCTCTGCATGTTGGCAATATTTAAGTGTTGGACTCCACTACACCCTAGGGGTCATGAACTGTTTTGGCTCCTTTAACTGGTTTGAAGTCTCAGTGCAGCCAGGACAGCCATGCCATGTTGAAGGGCATGCGGATGACTTAGGAATGTTGGAAAGGATGGGTGGTTCTGAGCTCGCAGCTCACTCACTAGCTGCCTGCATGTAGACCCAGTGGTGGTGCTCAGGCAGTGTTGACTTTCAGGCATTGCGGCAGGCAGTAGTGCAGTCAAGTTGGTGGCATGATAGGATGTTGCCTCAGAGGTCAGTACAGGGTAGCCCTGTGCGTGTGTCCGATGCAAGGAAAATGAAAGACAGTGTGTCCTGTCTGCCTGGTCCTTGGGACATCGGTTGGGGGACGTCCTGTTGGAAAAGCAGCCATTCCCTTTGTATGTCCATAGGGCATGGTGCAGGCACATGGACTGAGTGGAGGGAGGAAGCCCGTGTCTTGAGGTCCTTTGGCTAGGTTGGGAAGACCACCTCTGACCTTGACGCCGAGTTTCAGACCGATGTGCTGGCCATTGCAAAGTCGCCCTCCAGCGCAGGTTGTGATTGGTTTTCCACCATGTATGCCTCACCTGAGAGGGCTGCTAGAGACAGTGTCTGCTCAGGACATCAGATGTCCCGTGAGGAGGAGCATGTATTCACACCAGGGGAGGTGGCTGGTAGGCGAGCCACCTCAGGCCTATATGTCCGCATGACTTCCATGTCAAAATTTACATCCTACTGATTGAAGTCCTTCAGCTGTCGGGTTGGTGGGTTGTCAGGCCAGGAGGCTGCAGACTATGACTGCCTATTGCTGTGTTGGGAAACACATGTGTCAGGAACACATGTGGTGAGGGAGACACACACACATACATTCATATACACACATACATTCATATACACACACACACACGCACACAGGCATGCCGAACCACAGGCAAATACACGTAGCAATGGGCGTGTGTGACCACACATGCTTTTAGTTATCCACAGAGTAACACGTGTAAAGTATCGTGGAAGCCAGGGGAATAACAGGTGTGCACGCTACCCCACAGGAAAGAGTGGGATTGAAGTGTTGACCAGTGGACCTGGGCCCATTTCTCAAGTGTGTTATTTGATTTCTTTACACTTCTCAGAGGCAATTGCTGTGGGAGGCGTGGTGTAACTGCTGGAAGGAAGACACTCCATTCCTCTGAGCAATGAAGGCCACATGGAGTCCTGGATTTTATGTGGTCCTGGCATCCATGATGCACCACGTGCTGGCAGGTGACTCAGGACGGTAAGCATTTCTCTGCCCTGCATGCCGAGTGAGGGTGTCTTTCGGATTTCCAAGACGCACAAGGAGCAGGTTCTTGGCTAACCACTAATGGCATGGTGACTTCCTCTCCTAGAGTGGATGATCTGCACTCATTGCTCAGTGGCACGGCTTTATGGGGGCCGAAGGTCTTTAACGTCATTGGCTCACCCACTGCTCGGCCTGTGGTGTCAAACGTCCTGCCTCTTCAAATGTGCTTGGATCGATGATGAGTCCCCTATAAAAACATTCCTTGGAAAAGCTGAACAAAATGAGTGAGAACTCATACCGTCGTTCTCATCGGATCTGAGGTCCAGCACATTGGCTTCCCCAGGGACTGTAGGAGCCAGGGGCAGCTTCCACTGATTCCCATATGTTCCACCACCCAGGGCATCCACAGGCCAAAGGCTCCCATCACACAGAGGTTAGGAACATTCCCTTTGTGTGAGGTACACAGGTGGGAGAGTCCTGGGGGGAGCAACTGCTCTGTGGTGGTGCGGTAGCTGTGGAAGGGATGGAAATATTGTAGGCCTAGGGTAGTGTGCACCTCATGTTGGCTTGTTGAGCTCTTCGGAAGGGAGACCTGGACCTCATGGCGGGCATCTCTCAGCAGAGGACTGAGTCCTTGTTTTGTTGCCAGGGAGAGCACAAGGCCCACGTCTCAGGCAGATGTTGGTCCTGATTTTTGGTTTGCTGAGGACAAGGGAGTGTCAAGGATGATAGGGGACAGTGTATTAACAAAGGGTGTTGTGACAGATAGCCAAAGCTGCTTTGGCCCTCCACCCAGCATCCGGTCATGGAGGCCCCCCAGCAGGGATTTCTTCATCCCCTGAACCGTGAGATGCCCCTGGTGCCACGGTGGAAGCCTGGAGTGGAAGGTACCCCACAGAGGAGGCGGTAGGGGGCTCATGTGGACATGTGTGTCATCAGCATTGTTGGGCTGTTGTTCAGCAGTGATGGGCTTTCCATTTACTTCTCTAGTGGATGACAAGTTGGCCAGCAGCAATCTTAGAGGATAGGTCCCAGGGAATATGAGGGTCAGACTCGTGCCCCTGGCCCTCAGTCACTTCTCATCTTCCTGACATTGTAGTGGGTCCACCATTGTGCACATCTTCCTGGAAATGGTCTCTTGGCTTGCCATTGCCGGGCAGCCCCACCTGCTGCAGCTCGTGTGAGCAAGTATGGCTCTGGATCGTCTTTCCCACTTTGAAAGCAGCTTCTATCCTGAAGGCGTCCAGAGGGTATGTGCCCTGGCCCTGGCCCAGAACTCTTCTGTGGGCATCGGTCACACATGGGGCTATCCATGGAGATCGGGTACATTCCAGGCAACATGTATACCATTCCAGGGGCCTGCCATAGAGAGTTCCTTGACTTGGGATGCCCCTGCACCTCCCGTGTTGGTAATGTTCCAGTGTTGCATTCTGCTACACCCTAAGGGTGATGAAGCATTTCAGCTCCCTCAAACAGTTTGAGGTCACAGTGCAGCCAGGACACCCATATCATATTGAGGGGCCCATGACTGCATTAGAAATGTTGGAAGGAATTAGTGGTTCTGCAGATTGCACCTTATGAGTAGCCGTGTACATGTAGATCTGGTGATGGTGCTGAGGTAGTGTAGAGTTGCAGGAGTTGGGGTGGGTGGTAGTGCAGTCAAGTTGGCTGCATGATGGGATGTTGCCTCAGAGTTTAAGCCCTGTGGATGTAACCAATGCAAGGACAATGGAAGGCAGTGTGTCGTGTCAGCCTGGTCCTTGGGCGGGGATGTCCTGTTGGAGAGCAGCCATTCCCTTCGAGTGTCCTGAAGGCGCAGTGCAGGCATGTGGACTGAGTGGAAGGGAGGAAGCCCGCATCTTGAGATCCTTTGGCTAGGTTGGGAAGATTGGCTCTGGCCTGATGCCGTTTTCAGACTGATGGGTTCGTCATTGAGAAGGCACCCTCAAGTGCTGATTGTGGTTGGTTTTTCGTCACATGAGCCTCACCTGGGAGTGTGGCCAGAGACAGTGTCAGGTCACAACATCAGGTGCCCCATGAGGAGGAGAGTGTGCTCACTCCAGGGGTGGTGGCTGGTAGGTGAGGGACCTCAGGCCTGTGTCCTCATGGCCCCGAAGTCAAAGTTTGCATCCTACTGATTGAAGACCTTGGTTTTGAGCCTTTGGGTTGCAGGGGCTTCAGGTCTGGAGGCTGTAGACTGGGACTTCCTGTTGCGGTGTGGGAAACACATGTGCATGTGGGAAACACACACGCTCACACTATCACACACACAGTCATGTACAGCCACAGGCAAATAGACGCAGCAACAGGTACATGTGGTCGTTCTGGCCACACATGCTTCCTAAGTGTCTAGAAAGTGACACTGTCAGGTATGTTTATAAAGATGGAGGTCCATCATGGAGGCCAAGGAGAAGTGGGCATGTGAGTTGCTCTGTGGAAAAGGGTGGCGTTGAAGCGACCAGTGAACCTGGACCCATTTCTCAAGCGTGCATTTGATTTCTTTACACTTCTCAGGGGCAGTTATCATGGGACATCCGCCGTATGCTGGCAATGAACATGGTCAGTTCTTCTCAGCCACAAAGGCCCCCAAAGTCCTGGAGCTGGTGTGGCTTAGCATCCACGGTGCGCCCCCTGCTGGTGGATGGCTCAGGACGGTAAGCATTCCTCTGCCCCACGTGCTGAGTGGGGGTGGGATTTCCGAGACCTGAAAGGAGCTGTTTCTCAGCAGGCCACTGATGGCATGGTGAGTTCCACTCCTAAAGTGAATGGTCTGTGCGTGTTGTTCAGTGGTGTGGCTCTGGCTTCCCCAGGGGTCCGAAGATTTTTAAGGTCATCAGCTTGCCCACTGCTCAGCCTGTGGTGTCAAACGTCCTGCCCCTTTGAACGTGCTTGGATCGATGATGAGTCCCCTATAAAAACATTCCTTGGAAAAGCTGAACAAAATGAGTGAGAACTCATACCGTCGTTCTCATCGGATCTGAGGTCCAGCACGTTGCCTCCCCCGGGGACTGTAGGAGTTAGGGACAACTTCCACTGGTTCCCATAGGTTCCACCACCCAGGGCGTCCACGGATGAAAGTCTCACATCACAGGCACAATAGGAACATTCCGTCTGTGTGAGGTACACGAGTAGAAGAGTCATGGGGGAATCGGCTGCTCTGTGATGTCATGGTGGCTGTAGAAGTGGGTAGAATTGCAGACCTAGGATCATGTGCAACTGATCTTGGCTTGGTGAGCTCCCAGGAAGGGAGACCCTGACCTCCCGATGGGCGTCTCTACGCAGAGGACTGGGTCTTTGTTTTTATGCCAAGGAGAGCAAAAGGCCCAGACTTCAGACAGACCTTGGTCTCGATTTTCAGTTATCTGAGGAGAGGGGAGTGCCAAAGTGATGGGGGACAATGGAGAGCAATGGGTGTTGTGGCAGACAGCCAAAGCCTCTTTGGCCCTCCCCCTAGTGCTGGTTACAGGGACCCCCCGGCAGGGATTTCTTTGCCTCCTGAGCCATGAGTTGCCCATGGTGTGGTGGCTGAGCCTGGGCAGGACAGTACCTCAGAGCAAAGGTGGTAGAGGGCTCACATGGACATGTGTGTCATCAGTGTTCTTGGGCTGTCATTTGGCAGTGATGGGCTTTCCATGGATTTCTCTTGTGGATGACAGGTCAGCCCATGGTGTTTTCAAGGGCAGATCCAAGGAGCATGAGGGTCGAGCTGTATCCCGTTGCCCTGGGTCACTTCCAGTCTTCTTGGGAGAGTAGAGGGCTCCACCGTTGTGCGCATCTTCCTGGAAATGGTCTCTTGGCCCACCATTGCCGTGCAGCCCTACACGCTGCAGCTCGTGTGATGAAATAACTGCTGTGGATCTTACTTCCCGCTTTGAAAGCAACTTCCATCCTGAAGACTTTCAGAGGGAACGTGCCCTGGCCCTGGCCCTTGCTCGGAACTCTCCTGTGGGATTCCGTCACACTTGGAGCTGTCCATGGAGGTCCATGTGCATTCCAAACAATGCGTATTTAATCCCAGGTGCCTTCCATGGAGGGTCCCTTGACTTGAGATGCTTCCACTCCTCTGCACGTTGGTGATGCTCAAGTGTTGAATTTAGCTATGCCCTAGGCGTGATGAAGTGTTTCAACCCCATTAGTCTCAGTGCAGCCAGAACAGTCATGCCATGTTGAAGGGCATGCCAATGGCTTAGGAAAGTTGGGAAGGATTGGTCATTCTGTGGCTCGCAGCTCACTTAGTAGCCATGTGCATATAGACTTGGTGGTGGTTGTCAGACGGTGTTGACTAGCAGGTGTTGGGGAGGATGGTACTGCATCCAAGGTGGCTGCGTGGTGGGATGTTGCCTTGGAGGTCGGTGCAAGGAAGGCCTTTGAGTGTGATCAATGCAAGGATGATGGAAGGCCATGTGTCCTGTCTGCCTGGTCCTTGGCGCGTTAGGCAGGGACGTCCTGTGGGAAAAGCAGCCATTCCCTTCAGGTGTCCTGAGGGGCATGATGCAGGTACATTGACTGAGTGAAGGAGAGGAAGCCCATGTCTTGAGGTCGTTTGCCTAGATTGGGCAGACTGCCTCTGGCCTTGATGCCGAGTTTCAGAGTCACATCCTGACCGTTGCAAAGGCATGCTCCAGTGCTGGTTGTGATTGGTTTTGTGCCAGGTGCACCTTTCCTGGGAGTGCTGCCAGAGATGGTGTCTGGTCAGGACATCAGATGCCTTGTGAGGAGGAGCTTGTGCTCAGACTAGGGGTGGTGGCTGTTATGTGAGGGACCTTGGGCCTATGTCTGCATGGCCCAAGGTCAGAGTTTACATCCTGTTGATTGAAGGTCTTGGTCTTGAATTGTCCGGTTGATGGGGGCTCAGGCCTGGAGGCCACAGACTCTGACTGCATGTTGCCATGTTGGTAAACTCATGTGTTGGAAAACACATGTGCATGAGGGAGACACACACACACACACACACACATGCATGCACATAGCCACTGAGCAATAGGTGTGTGTGGTCATTCTGGCGCCACACACAGCTCCGAAGTGTTTGCAGAGTGCCACTAGTAAGGTACAATCATGGAAACAGAGGTCACTCATGGAGGCCAACAGAAGGAAGACGTGCAAGTTGCCACGCATGAACGAATGGCACTGAAGTTTTGACCAGTGGAACTGGGCCTGTTTCTCAAGTGTGTATTTTATTTGTTTACACTTCTCAGGGGCAGTTGCCATGGGAGGCCCGCCACCTGCTGGAAGGAAGATGGTCAATTCTTTTGAGCCACAAAGGCCCTGCAGAGTCCTGGAGTCAGTGTGGCCTGGCTTCCTGGGTGCACCTTGTGCTGGTGGATTGCTCAGGACGGTAAGCATTTCTCTGCCCCATGTGCTGAGTGAGGGTGTCTTTTGGATTTCCAAGACCCACCATGAGCTGTTTCTCACAAGGCCACTAATGGCATGGTGTCAAACATCCTGCCTCTTCAAATGTGCTTGGATCGATGATGAGTCCCCCAAAAAAACATTCCTTGGAAAAGCTGAACAAAATGAGTGAGAACTCATACCGTCGTTCTCATCGGAACTGAGGTCCAGCACTTGCCTCTAGCAGAGACTATTGGAGTGAGGGACAGCTTCCACTGGTCCCTGTAGGTTCCACCACCCAGGCCATCTGCAAGTAAATGTCTCCCATTACACACACATTAGGAACATTCCCTTTGTGTGAGGTACACAATTAGGAGAGTTGTGGAGGGACTGGCTGCTGTGTGATGGCGTGGCGGCTGTGGAAGCGGACAGAAAAATCGCAGGCCTAGAGGAGTGTGTGGCAGACCTGGGCCTGGTGAGCTGCCAGGAGGGGAGACCTGGACCTTGTGTCAGCCATCCTCACACACAGGAGAGGGTCCTGGTCCCCCTACTATGGAGAGCATGAGGTCCTAGCCTTAGGCAGACTTTGATCTTGCTTTTCAGTTAGCTGAGGACAGGGGAGTGCCAAGGGTGATGGGGGAGAGTGCAGAGCAATGGGTGTTGCAGCAGATGGCCAAAGCCTCTTTGATCCTCCCCCCAGCATTGGTCTCAGGGTCACCCCAGCATGGATTTCTTTGCCTCCTGAACTGTGAGATGCTGGTGGTGTTGTGGAGACCAGGGTAGGACGTATTCTCTGGTATTCCAGAGAAAAGGTGGTAGGGGGCTCACGTGGACAGGTGTGTGTCATCAGTGGTCTTGGGCTGTCTGTGTGCTGGACTTTCTGTGTATTTCTCTGATGGGTGACAGATTGGGCAGCAGGGGTCTTCAAGGAAAGTTGCCAGGTGTGTGAGGTTTGGGCTGCTGCCTGTGGCCCTGGGTCACTCCGATCTTCCTGGCAGAGTTATGGGCTCCACCGTTGTGTACATCTTCCTGGAAATGGTCTCTTGGCCTGCCGTTGCCAGGCGCCCCACTTGCTGCAGCTCGTGTGAGCAAATGCTGCTCTTAATCCTTTTTTTCACTTTGAAAGCAGCATCCATCCCAAAGGCGTCCAGAGGGAATGTGCCCTGGCCCAGGCCGAGTACCATCCTGTGGTCTCCAGTCACATGTGGGCCTGTCCATGGAGGTCCGTGTCCATTCCGGGCAATGCGTGTGCAGTCCCAGGGGTGTTGCCACAGAAAGTCTTTTGACTTTGGATGTCTCCATGCCTCTGCATGTTGACGATGTTCCAGTGTTGGATTCCGCTATGCCCTATGCATGATGAAGCATTTTAGCTCCCGTAACCAGTTTGAATTCACAGTGCAGCCATGACAGCCATGCTACTTTCAAGGGCACATGGTTGGCTTAGGAAAGTTGGAATGGATTGGTGCTTCTACAGCTCACAGCTCACTTAGTAGCCGCATGCATGTGGACTGGGTGGTGTTGATACAGTGTTGACTTGCCAGTTTTGGGGTGGGTAGTAGTGCGGTCAGATTGGCTGCATGATGGGTCATTGCTTCTGAGGTCAGTGCAGGGATGCCCTGTGGGCGTGTCCAATGCAAGAATGATGACAGGCGGTGTGTCCTGTCAACCTGGTCCTTGCAGTTCAGGTAGGGACGTCCTGTTGGAAAAGCAGCCATTTTCTTTGGGTGTCCTGAGGGCACAGTGTGGGCACATGGACTGAGTGGAGGGGAGGAGGCGTGTATCTTGAGGGCCTGTGGCTGGGTTGCTAGTCTTGCCTCTGGCCTTAATACTGAGTTTCAGACCAATGTGCTGGACTTTGCAAAGGTCCCCTCTGGAGCTGGTTGTGGTTGGTTTTGCACCAGGTTGCACCTCACCTAAGAGAGTGGTCAGAGACAGTGTCTTGTGGTGACATCAGCATTCCCATGAGGAAGAGGAGTAGCCTGTGCTCCTGCCAGAGGTGGTGGCTGCTGGGTGAGAGACCTGTGACCTGTTTCCACATGGCCCCAAGGTCAAAGTTCACATGCCACTGATTGAAGGCGTGGGTCTTGAGCCATCAGGTTGCTGGGTGGATCAGGTCTGGAGGCTGCAACCTATAACTGCCCATTGTGGTGTTGGCACCCACAGGTGCATTAGGGAGACAAACACACACCCATTTCAACTAACATTCTCACACATACACACACACACTCTCTCATACACTCACACTCATACTCACACTCTATCCCACACACACACACAGGCACAGACAGTCATAGGCTAATAGATGCAGCAGTGTGCACGTGCGGTGGTTCTGGCCACACATGCTTTTAGGTGTCCACAGAGTGACACGGGTAAGATATATTCATGGAGATGGAGGTCAGCCGTGGAGGCCAAGGAGGAGCAGGTGTGTGAGTTGCTCTGTGGGAAAGAATGGCATTGAAGCGTCCAGTGAACCTGGGCCTGTTTCTCAAGCATGCATTTGATTTGTTTACACTTCTCAGGGACAGTTGCCGTGGGAGGTCCGCTGCCTGCTGTCAGGGAAGATGGTCGATGCTTCTGAGCAACATAGGCCCACGTGGATTCCGTGTGGCCTGGCATCCACTGTGCACCCCGTGCTGGCGGGTGGCTCAGGACGGTAAGCATTTTTCTGCCCCGTGTGATGAGAGACGGTGGCTTTAGAATTTCCGAGACCTGCAAGGAACAGTTTCTCAGCAGGCCATTAATAGCATGGCGAGTTCCACTCCCAGAGTGGATGGTCTGTGCCGGTTGGTCAGTGGTGCAGCTCTGGCTTCCCCAGGGTGCCAAAGTTCTTTAATGTCATCGGCTCGCCCACTGCCCAGCCTGTGGTGTCAAACATCCTGCCTTTTCAAACGTGCTTGGATCGATGATGAGTCCCCCAAAAAAACATTCCTTGGAAAAGCTGAACAAAATGAGTGAGAACTCATACCGTCGTTCTCATCGGATCTGAGGTCCAGCACGTTGCCTCCCCCGGGGACTGTAGGAGTTAGGGACAACTTCCACTGGTTCCCATAGGTTCCACCACCCAGGGCGTCCACGGATGAAAGTCTCACATCACAGGCACAATAGGAACATTCCGTCTGTGTGAGGTACATGAGTGGGAGATTTGTGGGGACACTGGCTGCTCTGTGATGGCGCAGCCGCCATGGAAGAGGGGAGAAATGTCACGATCCTAGGGGAGTGTGCGGCTGACCTCAGCCTGGTGAGCTTTCAGGAAGGGAGGCCTGGACCTTATGGCTGAAGTCTCCGTGCAGAGGGCAAGGTCTCAGTTTTGCTACCAAGGAGAGCACAAGGCCTGGGCCTCGGGCAGACCTTGTTCATGATTTCTGGTTAGCTGAGGACAGGGGAGTGCCAAGGGCAGTGATGGAGAATGCATAGCAGTGGGTGCCACGGGAGACAGCCAGTGGCTCTTCAGCTCTTCCACCAGTGTTGGTCACAGTGTCCCCCCAGCACATATTTCTTTGCTTCCCGAGCCATGAGACATGTGTGCTTTGGTGGTGAAGGTGTAGACCGGATGGTATCCAAGAGAAAAGGTGCTAGAGGCCTCTCATGGATGTGAGTGTCATCAGCTTCATTGGGTTTTAATTTGGCAGTGATGGGCTTTCCATGGATTTCTCTGGTGGACGACAGGTTAGCCAGGGCAGGTCTTTGAGGGCATGTCTCTGGGCAAATGAGTGTCAGGATGGTGTCCATGGCCCTCGGTCACTTCTGGTCTTCCCAGCCAAGTAGTGGGCTCTACCGTTGTGCACATCTTCCTGGAAATGGTTTGTAGGCCTGCATTGTCGGGCGGCCCCACCTGCTGCTGCTCTTGTGAGCAAATACTGCTCTGTATCATTCCCGCTTTCCATCCCAAATATGTCCAGAGCGAATGTGCCCTGGCCCTGGCCCTGGACTCTCATGTGGGCCCCAGTCATGCATGGGGCTATCCATGGTCTGTGTGCATACCGAGCAGTGCATTTGCAATCTCAGGGGCATTGCCACAACGAGTCTCTTGACTTGGCATGTCTCCATACCTCTGTGTGCTGGTGATGTTCTAGTGTTGGACTCCGCTGCTCCCTAGGCGTGATGAAGCATTTCAGCTCCCATAGCTGGTTTGAAGTCACAGAGCAGGCAGGACAGCCATGCCACTTTCAAGGGCACACAGTTGGCACAGGAAAATTGGAAAGGATTGGTTGTTGTACATCTTGCAGCTCACTTAGTAGCTGCATGCACGTAGACCTGATGCTGTTGATGCAGTGTTGACTTGCTGGCGTTGGGGTGGTGGGTGGTACTGTGACACTGGCTGCATGATGCGATGTTGTCTCAGAGGTCAGTGCAGGGAAACTCTGTGGGTGTATCCAATGCAACGACAGTGTTACAGGCGGTGTGTCCTGTCTGCCTGGTCCTTGGGGAGTCAGGTGGAGACGTCCTTTTGGAAATGCAGCCATTCTCTTTGGGTGTCCAGAGGGCATGGTGTGGGCACATGGGTTGAGTGGAGGAAAGGAAGTGTGTGTCTTGAGGTCCTTTGGCTAGGTTGGGAAGACTACCTCTGGCCTTGATGCTGTGTTTCAGAGCCATGTGCTGGCCATTGCAAAGGCGCCCTCCAGTGCTGGTTGTAGTTGGTTTTCCATCAGGTGCACCTCACCTGGTGAAGGGGCCAGAGACAGTGTCTGGTCATGACATAAGATGCTTTGTGAGGAGGAGAATGTGTTCATGCCCGGGGTAGTGGCTGTTAGGCAAAGGACCTTGGACCTCTTTCCTCATGGCCTTGAGGTCAAAGTTCACATGCTATTGATTGAAGGCCTGGGTCTTGAGCCTTTGGTTTTGTGGGGTTGGTTCCGGTCTGGAGGCTGCAGACTGTGACTGCCTGCTGGGGTGGTGGGAAACACATGTGCATGAGGAGGACACATCCACACAGAGACACTCACACTCATGCACACTCGTGTGCACAGCCACAAATAGATGCGGCAATGGGCGTGTGCAGTTGTTAGGCCACAGACACTTGTAGGTGTCCATGGAGTGACATAGGTAAGGTATGAATGGGTCTTTGAGGGCATGTCTCTGGGCAAGTGAGTGTCAGGATGGTGTCCATGGCCCTGGGTCACTTCTGGTCTTCCCAGCAGAGTAGTGGTATGAATATGGAGATGGAGGTCAGTCCTAGAGTCCAAGGAGAAGCAGAGATACGAGTTGCCCCATGGGAAAGAATGACATTGACATGGTGACCAGTGGACGTGGGCCTGTTTCACAAACATGCATTTGATGTCTTTACACTTCTCAGGAGCAGTTGCCTTGAGATGCCCACTGCCTGCTGGCACAGCAGATGGTCAATTCTTCTGAGCAATGGAGTCCCCACTGAGTCATGGAGTCGGTGTGGCCTGGCATCCACGGTGCACCCTGTGCTGGTGGATGGCTCAGGACGGTAAGCATTCCTGTGTCCCGCGTGCTGCGTGAGGGTGTCTTCAGGATTCTGAGACCCACAGGGAGCAGTTCTTCGGGCCATTAAGGGCATGGCCGAGGCCTTTAAGGTTATCAGCTCGTGCACTGCCCAGCCTGTGGTGTCAAATGTCCTACCTCTTCAAATGTGCTTGGATCGATGATGAGTCCTCCAAAAAAACATTCCTTGGAAAAGCTGAACAAAATGAGTGAGAACTCATACCGTCGTTCTCATCGGAACTGAGGTCCAGCACATTGCTTCCTCTGGGGCCCGTAGTAGTGAGGGACGACTTCTACTAGTCCCTACAGCTTCCACCACCCACGGCGTTCACAGATGACAGTCTTCTGTCATATGCACATTAGGAACATTCCCTCTGTGTGAGGTACACAGATCAGAGAGTCATAGGGTGATTGGCTGCTCTGTGATGGAGTAGTGGCCATGGCAGTGGACGGAAATGTCTCAGGCTTAGGGGAATGTGGGGCTGGCCTTGACCTGGTGAGCTCCCAGGAAGGGAGACCTGGAAATCGCTGCGGGCTTCCTTGCGTAGAGGAACAGGTACATGTTCCAGTTCTCCTTTCAGGGAGACCACGAGGCCCAGAACTCAGGCAGTCCTTGGTCTTGATCTTTGGTTAGCTGAGGACAGGGATGTGCCAAGGGTGATAGGGGAGGGCGCACAGCAATGGATGTTGCAGCAGACAGCCAAGTCCTCTTTCTCCCTACTTTCAGGGTCGATTGCAGGGGCCCCACAGCACAGATTTTTTCACCTCTCGAGCTGTGAGATTCTTGTGGTGTGGTGGCCAAGCCTGGGCAGGAGGCTGGTACCCCAGAGAAAAGGTGTAGAGGGCTCACATGGACACGCATGCCATCAGTGGTCTTGGGCTGTCATTTGGTGGTGATGGGCTGTCTTTGTGGATTTCTCTGGTGGATGACAGGTTGGCCAGTGGGAGTCTTCGAGGGCAGGTCCTAGGGAGCACGAGGGTCAGGCTGATGCCTGTGGTCCTGGGTCACTCCAGTCTTCCTGGCAGAGTAGCAGAAGTGCACATGTTCCTGGAAATGGTGTCTTGGCCTGCCATTGCCAGGTGGCCCCACCTGCTGCAGCTTATGTGAGCAAATACTGCTCTGGATCCCATTTCCCGCTTTGAAAGCAGCCTCTATCCTGAAGGCGTCCAGATGGAATGTGCCCTGGCCCTGGCCTGGGACCCTCCAATGGGGTCCAGTCACAGTTGGCATATTCGTGGAGTTCCATGTGCATTTCAGGCAATGCATGTGCTCTACCTGGGGCACTGCCTTGGAGAGTCTCTTGACTTGGGATGCCTCTTCACCTTTGTGTGTTGGTGATGTTCCAGTATTGGATTCTGCTACATCCTCAGGGCAGTGAAGCGTTTCAGCTCACTTAGCCAGTTTGACATCACAGTGCAGCCAGGACAGCCGTGCCACTTTGGCATGGCACATAGTTGGCTTAGGACAGTCGGAAAGGGTTGGTGGTTCTATTCTTGCAGCTCACTTCATAGCTGTGTGTGTGTAAACCTGGTGATGGTGTTGAGGTGGTGTTGACTTGCCGACGCTGGTGTGGGTGGTAGTGCTTTTAAGTTGACTGCATTGTGGGATGTTGGCTCAGAGATTGGTGCAGGGAAGCCCTGTAGGCGTGTCCAATGCAAGGAAAATGAAAGATGGTGTCCTGTCCACCTTGTCTTCAGGGGTTCAGGTGGCAGTGTCCTGTTGGAAAAGTAACCATTCCCTTCATGTGTCCTGAGGGCATGGTGTGGGCATGTGAATTGATTGGAGGGAGGAAGTGTTTGTTTTGAGGTCCTTTGGTTGGGTTCAGAAGACTGTCTCTGCCCTTGATGCCTTGCCTAAGATCAATGTGCTGGCCATTGCAAAGGTGCCTTCCAGGGCGAGTTTTGGTTGGGTTGGTTCCAGGTGTGCCTTACCTGGGAGGGTGGCCAGAGACATTGTCTGGTCACAACTTCAGATGCCCCATGAGGAGGAGTGTATGCTGGTGCCAGGGGTGGTGGCTGTTAGTCGAGGGACCTCAGGCCAATGTCCATCTGACCCCTAAGTCAAAATTCGCATCCTACTGATTGAAGGCCTGTGTCCTGAGCCATTTGGTTGCAGGCGTTGGGATGGTTTCCAGGTCTGGAGGCTGCCGCCTATGACCACATGTTGTGCTGTTGGGAAACACGTGTGTGAGGGAGGCACATACACACAGACACACTCACTCTGACACACCTACACATGCCTACACATGCACAGGTGTGCACAGCCACAGGCAAACAGATGCACCAGTGGGTGTGTGCTATTGTTCTGGTCACGTGTGCTTCCTAGATGTCCACAGAGTGACATGGGTCAGGTATATTCATGATGATGGAAGTCTGTCATGGAGCACAAGTAGACGCCGGCGTGCAAGTTTCCCTGCGGGAAAGAATGGCATTGAAGTGGTGACCAGTGAACCTGGGCCCGTTTCTCAAGCATGCATTTGATTTCTTTACACTTCTCAGCAGCAGTTTGTCATGAGAGGTCTACCACTTGCTGGCAAAGAAGATGGTCAATTCTTCTGACCAACGGAGGCTGCCTTGAGTCCTTGATTTGGTGTGGCCTGGCGTCTATGGTGCACCCCATGCTGGTGGATGGCTCAGGATGGTAAGCATTCCTCTGCCCTGTGTGCAGAGGTGTCTTTTGAATTTCTGGTACCTGCAAAGAACTGTTTCTCAGCAGGCTACTAATGGCATGGTGAGTTCCACTCCCAGAGTCGATGATCTGTGCCCGTTGTTCAGTGGTGTGGCTCTGGGTTCCCCAGGAGGCCGAAGGTGTCATCGGCTCACCCACTGCCCAGCCTGTGATGTCAAACGTCCTGCCCCTTCTAATGTGCTTGGATCGATGATGAGTCCCCTATAAAAACATTCCTTGGAAAAGCTGAACAAAATGAGTGAGAACTCATACCGTCGTTCTCATCGGATCTGAGGTCCAGCACGTTGCCTTCCCCGGGGACTGTAGGAGCGAGGGACAACTTCCACTGGTTCCCATAGGTTCTACCACCCAGGGCATTTACAGATGAAAGTCTCCTATCACATGCATGTTAGGACATTCCCTCTGTGTGACATAAATGGATGGGACAGTTGTGGGGGGATCAGCCCCTCTGTGATGTGGCAGCCGTGGAACCAGGTGGAAATGTTTTGACCTAGGGGAGTGTGTGGCTGGTCTTGACCTGGTGAGCTCCCAGGAAGGGAGACTCGGACCTTGCAGTGGGTATCTTTGTGCAGAGGACAGGGTCACAGGTCCCCTGCCAAGGAGAGCACGAGGTCCAGGCCTCAGGTACACCTTGGTCTTCATTTTCTATTAGCTGATGACAGGGGAGTTCCAAGGTGATAGAGGAGAGCGCAGAGCAATGGTTGTTGCCGCAGATGGCTAAAGCCTCTTCAGCCCCATTCCACCGTCAGTCACAGGTGCCCTCTGGCATGGATTTCTTTGCATCCCTAGCCATGAGATGACCGTGGTGCAGTAACCAAGGCTTGGGCAGGACAGTACGCCAGAGAAAAGGTGATGGAGGGCTCATGTGGACCTGTGTGTCTTCAGCTGCATTGGGCTGTTACTTGGTGGTGATGGACTTCCCATGGATTTCTCTGGTGGGTGACAGGTCAGCCAGGGCGGGTATTTGAGGGCATGTCTCTGGGCAAATGAGTGTCAGGATGGTGTCTGTGGCCCTGGGTCACTTCTGGTCTTCTCAGCAGAGTAGTGGGCTCCACCGTTGTGCACATCTTCCTGGAAATGGTCTCTTGGCATGCATTGTTGGGCGGCCCCACCTGCTGCAGCTCATGTGAGCAAACGCTGCTCAGGATCTTCTTTCCTGCTTGGAAAGCAATTTCCATCCTGAAGGCATCCAGAAGGAATGTGCCGTAGCCTTGGCCCGGGATTCTCCAGTGGTTTCCAGTCGTGTGGGGCTGTCCATGGAGGTCTGTGTTAATTCTGGGCAATGCGTATGCAGTCCCAGGGCATTGCCAAAGAGAGTCTCTTGACTTGGGATGCCTCTGCGTGTTGGTGATGTTCTAGTGTTGGATTCCACTATGCCCTAGGCATAGCATTTCAGCTCCCTTAACTGGTTTGAAGTCTCAGCATGGCCAGGACAGGAATGACACACTAAAGGACACACCGTTGGCTTAGGAAAGCTGGAAAGGTTGGTGGTTCTGTGGCTTGCAACTCACTTAGCAGGAATGTGCATGTAGACCCCGTGGTGTTGAGACAGCATTGATTTGTAGGCATTGTGGTGGGTAGTAGTGTGATCAAGTTGGCTGTGTGATCAGATGTTGCCTCAGAGGTCAGTGCAGGGAAGCCCTGTAGATGTGTCTGATGCAAGAACAATGACAGGCGTTGTGTCCTGTCAACCTTGTCCTTAGGGAGTCAGGCAGAGATGTCCTGTTGGAAAAGCATCCTCAGGGTGTCCTGAGGGCATGGTGCGGACATGTGGACTGAGTGGAGGGGAGGAAGCCAGTGTCTTGAGGTTCTTTGGCTAGATTGGGAAGACCACCGCCTCTGGCCTTGACACTGAGTTTCAAACTGATGTGCTGCACTTTGCAGTGGCGCCCTCCAGCGCTGGTTGTGGTTGGTTTTCTGCCAGGTGCACCTCAACCTGAGAGGGCAGCCAGAGAGTGTCTGGTCATGACATCAGATGCCCCATGAGGAGGAATGTGTGCTCATGCCAGGCTTGGTGGCTGTTAGTCAAGGGACTTTGGATCTATGTCCGCATGGTCGCGAGGTCAAAGTTCACATCCTACTGATTGAAGGCCTGGGTCTTGATCTTTGGGTTGCAGGGAGGTTCAGGTCTGGAAGCTGCAGACTATGACTGCCCCTTGTGGTGTTGAGAAACACATGTGCCTGAGGGAGACACATAAACACAGTCACTCTCACACACACATACACACATAGACATGCACAGCCACAAGCAAATAGATTCAGCAGTGGGCACATACTGTCCTTTGAGTCACACATGCTTCCTAGGTGTCCACAGAATGACGCGCGTCAGGTATATTCATGGTAATGAAGGTCAATCATGGTAATGAAGGTCAGTCGATGAAAAGTAGGTGTGTGAGTTGCCCTGTGAGCAAGAATGGCATTGAAGAGGTGACCAGTGGTCCTGGACCCATTTTATAAGCATGCATGTGATATCTTTACACTTCTCAGGGGCAGTTGCCGTGGAAGGCCCGCAGCCTGCTGCAAGGAAGATGGTTGATGCTTACGAGCAACAAAGGCTCCACGGAGTCGTGAAGTCGGTGTGGCCTGGCATCCACGGTGCACCCTGTGCTGGTGGATGGCTCAGGACGGTAAGCATTCCTCTGTCCCGCGTGCTGAGTGAGGGTGTCTTTAGGATTTCTGAGACCCGCAAGGAGCAGTTCTGCAGGCCATTAAGGGCACGGCCAAGGCCTTTAAGGTCGTCGGCTCACCCACTGCCCAGCCTGTGGTGTCAAATGTCTTGCCTCTTCAAATGTGCTTGGATCGATGATGAGTCCCCCAAAAAAACATTCCTTGGAAAAGCTGAACAAAATGAGTGAGAACTCATACCGTCGTTCTCATCGGAACTGAGGTCCAGCACATTTGTCTCTGCTGGGGACTGTAGGAGTGAGGGACAACTTCCACTGATTTTCACAGGTTCCACCACCAAGGGCATCCACAGGCCAAAATCTCCCATCACACAGAGGTTAGGAACATTCCCTCAGTGCGTTGTAGATGGGTGAGAGAATCATGGGCGAATCGTCTGCTTTGTTATGGTGTGGCTGCTATGGAAGAGTGCAGAAATTGTGCAGGCCTCGGGGAGTGCGCAGCTGGCCTCAGCTTGGTGAGCTCCCAGGAACGGAGACCCAGATCTTGTGGCAGGTGTCACCGAACAGAGGACCAGGTCCTAGATTTTTTTGCCGAGGAGAGCATGAGGTGCATGCCTCGGGCAGATCTTTGTTTTGATTTCCAGTTACCTGAGGACAAGGGAGTTCCAGGGTGGTGGGGAAGAGCACAGAGCAATGGGTGTCCCAGCAGATGGCCAAAGCCTCTTTGGCTCTCCTTCCAGGGTTGGTCACAGGGCCTCCCCGGCAGGGATTTCTTTACCTCCTGAGCTATGAGATGCTTGTGGTGTGATGGCAGAGGCCTGGGTGGGAAGGTATTCCAGAGAAAACATGGTAGAGGGCTCTCGTGGACGTGTGTGTCATCAGTGGTCTGGGGTTGTCATTTGGCAGTGATGTGCTTTCCATGGATTTCTCTGGTGGATGACAGTTCAGCCAGTAGGGGTCTTGGAGGGCAGGTCACAGTGAGCGTGAGGATCAGGCTGGCGCACGCAGCCCTTGGTCATTTCTAGTCTTCACAGCAGAGTAGTGGGTTCCACTGTTGTGCACATCTTCCTGGAAATAGTTTCTTGGCCCGCCATTGCTGGGTGGCCCCACCTGCTCCAGCTCGTGTGAACAAATAGTGCTCTGGATTATCTTTCCTGCTTTGAAAGCAGCTTCTATCCCGAAGACATCGAGAGGGAATGTGCCCTGGCCCTGGCTCTGGCCCAGGCCTCTGCCGTGGGCTGTAGTCACACTTGGGGCTGTTCATGGAGGTCTCTGTGTATTCCAGATTCCAGGCAACATATGTGCAATCCCAGGGGTGTTGCCACAGAGAACCTTTTGACTTAGGATGCAACCATACCACTCTATGATGGCGATATTCAAGTGTTGGATTCTGCTATGCCCTAGGGGTGACAAAGCGTTTCAGTTTCCATAGCCCGTTTGAAGCCACAGTGCAGCCAGGACTGCCGTGCTACGTTGAAAGGCTGTGGTTGGCTTAGCAAAATTGGAAAGGATTGGTGGTTCTGTAGCTTGTAGCTCACTTGGTAGCCAGGTGTATCTACACCTGGTGGTGGTGTTGAGGTGGTGTTGACTTGCAGGCATTGTTGTGGGTGGGAGTCTGGGTAGGAATGTGGTGGGTGGGAATGCAGTCAAGCTGGCTGCATGATGGAACGTTGCCTCTGAGGTCAGTGCAGGGAAGCCATGTGAGGTAACCAGTGCAAGGACAGTGTTAGGTGGTGTGTCCTGTCCACCTGGCCCTTGGGGCATCAGGCGTGGACATCCTCTTGGAGAAGCAGCCGTTCTCTTCGGGCATCGTGAGGGCACAGTGTGGGTACGTGGACTGAGCAAAGTGGAGGAAGCCCATGTCTTGAAGTTGTTTGGCTAGGTTGGGAAAACTGTCTCTGACCTTGACGCTGTGTTTCAGTGCAACATTCTGGCCATTGGGAAGGTGCCTTCCAGTGCAGGTTTTGGTTGGTTTTCTGCCAGATGTGCCTTACCTGGGAGTGCAGCAAGAGACAGTGTCTGGTCCCAACATCAGATGCCCTGTGAGGAGTAGCGTGTACTCACGCCAGGGGTGTTGTGGCTGTTACACAAGGGACCTCAGGCCTATTTCCACATGGCTTTGAGGTCAGAGTTCACATCCTACTGATTGAAGGCCTTGGTCTTGAGCCTTTGGTTTGTGGGGGGATCAGGTCTGGAAGCTGCAGACTATAACCACCCATTGCAGTGTTGGGAAATACAAACACACGTGTATGTGTGCATAGCCACAGGGAAATACATGCAGCAATGGGCACATGAGGTCATTCCAGCCACACACGCTTCCTATATGTCCAGAGTGACACAGGTAAGATATATTCATGGAGATGGAGGTCAATCGTCTAGGCCAAGAAGAAGCAGGCATGCAAGTGTCCCCACAGGTAAGGATAGGATTGAAGTGGTGACCAGTGGACCTGGGCCCATTTCTCAAGCGTGCATTTGATTTCTTTACACTACTCAGGTGCAGTTTTCATGGGAGGTGTGGCACCTGCTGGAAGGAAGATAGTTGATTCTCCTGAGTAATGAAGGCCACGCAGAGTCCTGGTTTCAGTTATCCACAGTGCACCCCGTGCTGGTGGGTGGCTCAGGACGGTAAGCATTCCTCTGTCCCTCGTGCTTAGCGAGGGTGTCTGGGATTTCCAAGATCCACAATGAGTGGTTTTTTGGTAGGCCGCTAATGGCATGGTGAGTTCCTCTCCTAGAGTGGATGGTCTGTACCTTTTGCTCAGTGGCGCAGCTCTGGGTTCCCCAGGGTGCCGAAGGTCTTTAAGGTCATCGGCTCACCCATGACCCAGCCTGTGGTGTCAAACAGGCTCTTTGAATGTGCTTGGATCGATGATGAGTCCCCCATAAAAACATTCCTTGGAAAAGCTGAACAAAATGAGTGAGAACTCATACCGTCGTTCTCATCGGAACTGAGGTCCAGCACGTTGCCTCCACTTGGGCTTATTGTGGTTCACGCATAACTTTCTCATATTACATTATACTTCACCACCCAGGCATTGGCATTCAATTTTTGTGGTCATTTTGACCATAGTAAAATTCTTTATCATAAATATATTTGAGAGTCATACTTGGGTAGCCCATGAATTTTTCTAGTGTTACTCTGTCAAGTTGGTTTCACCCTTAATGCTACATTTTGCATTTTTGTTTTGTGATTGATTTTTAGCCAGGTTCTGGTCACAAATATGTGAAGCCGTAGACTAGCGGATTTCATAAGTACCACAGGAGTCTAGATGACATGGCCTTCCTGACCTGTGAACCTGTCTTTCTGAAGCACACTCATTTCTTCTGCACCTTCCCAGTGTCATTGGCATGGAAGGAAGGCCCTTGTCCAAGAAAGATGGTCTTCATCTTGTGTGATCTTTGAGATGCCATAAGGTCCCTGGATACACATGGTGTGGGCTCCTTTGGAGGCTTTTGGATTTCTCCTGAATGTAAGTGATTTCTTCTGAAAGCATTCTGATTTTCCTAACTTGCAGGAACAAAGACTGTGTGTAGATTGATGATGCTTCCATATATACATTTTTTTTGGAAAGGTGAACAAAATGAGCGAAAACTCAGTACCATCATCCTCATCAAACTGAGGTCCAGCACGCTTCTCCATCAGGGCCTAGATTTAGGGGGCCAACATCTGTTTGTTGTCATGATCTGCACCAGAGCTTAGGATGTAGTTGACTTTCAGTGAAGTTGAGTATTTTGTACTCCCCTGGCTGAGAGATATGTTTGTTGAAGGACTTCTCTGTGAGAAGGTGGGGTAGCATCCTGTCAGTGTGCAGGAGAAGGTAAACCTGCAGGTGCCAGAGGAGGGCAGTATCCAGTTGCCCACCTCTGCATGGCTGGGTCTGTCCTTGATTCATACCTCTTGGGTTCATCACCCCCCAGAAGAAGACAGTTTCTTCCACATGAGGAGACAGCACGGTGCCATTCCTGAGCACTTCTTCAGCTTTCTTTCATCTGCAGTTGGGGACATGGGACTTCCTATGGTGTTTGGGTAGCATCAAGGGGTGGCCTTCTTAAAGCCAGTGGTGATGCTGATTTGCCCTCTGGAAAGGAGCCTGGAGAAGCTCTCCACAGTGAACTTGTACATCTATGAGAAGAATTCCAAATTCCATGGCCCAAGAAGAGTAGTGTCTGTGGGAAAGGGAGAGGCCTGCACAATGCCTTTACCTGGCATCATTCCATGTGGGTCATGGAGTGATGACTGTGAGGCTCTTTTGGACATTGCAGGGTGCCCACTGTCCATTTCATGGTGTCCTCAGGATGGTTTGCTTGGGAGAGCCTGATGTCATTTGCCTCTGAACCACTCAGACATCTTGATGCATTGGGGGTTTATAAGAGTGTGTCCTTCCCCATGTCGTGGTGATTTCTACTCGGAAATGTGACCTGTCAAGGTCTCTTTACTTATATACCTCAGTGTCTCCTGATATTAGGGTGTTTTTAAATTCCTCCTAATTCTTCACAGCAGTCTTTGTGAAGTAGTTATTGTGTGGTAGGACAGCGCTACCATCCACAGGCCAATGATGGATAGGTTTTGTACTCTGATGTTATGTTCACAAGCAAGTGCCTTAAGATCTGGTTTTCTTAGCTGCAGCACCTTAGAAGTCATGTAGGATTCAGAGTGCCTGGTGCTTCTCTGGGTCCCTGAGCTGTACCTGTGTAGTGCACATAGAGGTTGATTTGTGATTTTTACATGTGTCCGGATCGGAAGAGTGTGAAGGACTCCAGAGGTGACAATGCCTCAAGGCCAAAGAAAAGTTGACCTTTGCATAGGAAGAGGTTTCCCCTCCAAACTCTCCCCACTGAAGTATCACCATGGCCTTTGTCTTGTCTGATGGCCCAAAGAAGGGTTTTTGAGTTGGAGTTGTTACGAGTGGTGTTGAGAGTGTTCTTCATGCTTAGTGTTCTCTAGTTGATGGTGCCTTCAAAACTCATGCCAGCCTCCTACCTTCATGTTTGGGCAAACCCATGCTTGTGTGCAGAAAGAGGGGGAGCCCATGAGAGGTAGATACCGATTACTCCACAGCAGGACAAATGACATGACCCTTGCCACCTATGCACCTCACTGCCTTTCTCAAGCACACATGTTTTGCTCCTGCACTTCTTAGGTGGCGTTGGTATGAAAGGAAGGCCAGTGACCACAAGGGACGATCTTCATCTTGGGAGATTTTTGGAGATGGTGAAGTGCCTGTAAACATGTGTGTCATGGTCTCCTTCAGGCTGGTGGACACCTCAGGACGGTAAGTATTGGTTTTTCAAAAGATCCTAATGTTCCATTTTTGCAGGTGTGAGGACTGTGCATGGATCAGTGATGACTTCCACACATGCATTCCTTGGAAAGCTAAACAAAATGAGTGAAAACTTTATACCGTCATCCTCTTCAAACTGAGGTCTAGCACACTGCTTCAACGGGGCTAGAGACAGAGTTCCACCTCTCTCTCATTGACGTGGGTTGCACCAAAGGGTCTGTCCAGGCTTAGGATGGGGTTCTCTTTTGGCAAGGGGTAGCCCCAGGGGAGTGGGAGCTCCCATGGACAGGAGAGTCCTTGTGTGACGGATATCTCTTAGTGAGGCCAGGGTAGCACATACACAGTGTTCAGGACTAGGTGAATGTGCAGGTGGCACAAAGGACTTAGGCTCTGCACCCCCTAGTTTGTCCTTGAGTCTTAGTTTTTGGTTCTCTCATCATTGGGAGGAAGGCAGGTCCTTCTCATTGGGAAGAGAGGAAAAGGCCACACTTTTGCCTCATTTTTATCCCTGTCTACATACATGGATTTGTGGTCACCTGGATGCTACACACCCAGGCCAAGGTGGCTCTATTGTATCCTGTGTGTTATGAAGACATACAGTTGGCCTCCTGCCCTAAGCTGGGGCTGATAGGCAACGAGTCTCTGGCTTATCTCAAATCTGGTGTAGGTCAAAGGTTTCCTCATTAGGGGTGCAGATCCCCGAGGCTTTTGTGATCAACATTACAGCTGTGCACGGGTGTTTAAAGGGACACTTGACATCAGTTCTCTCTAGTGGGATTACGTACTCCATGGGCTCCCAGGATCTAGACGTGCATTCCCGTATCTATGCATTTCTGCGTCCATAAACAGATGAAGCCAGAGACAGGCAGATTGCAGATTACTTCAGGGGGCCAGATGGCATGTCCCTCATGACCTCTGCACATGTCTGCCTTTCTCAAGCATGCCCATGTTTCATCTGTACCTCCCAGGTGGTGTTGGCATGGAAGGAGGGCCTGTGTCTGCGAGGGATGATCATCCTCTCATGTGATCCTTGGAGATGCCAGGAAGCCCCTTGACACATGTGGCATGGACTCCTTCAGAGGCTTTTGGATCCTTCGTGAATGTAAGCAAGTCCTTCCCAAAGCCCTGATTTTCCTCATTTGCAGAAACAAAGATTGTGCCTGGATCGATGATGACTTCCACATACATTCCTTGGAAAGCTGAACAAAATGAGTGAAAACTCTATGCCGTCATCCTCGTCAAACTGAGGTCCAGCACGCTGCTACATTGGAGGGCAGGGAGAGGGGCCAACATCTGTTTGTTGACATGGCCTACACCCTGGCTTAGGATGTGGTCCTCTTTGGGCAAACGCGAATGTTGGGCTTTTCTGACTTCTGTAGCTAAGAGACAGCTTGGTTGAAGGAATTTCCTCTAAGAGGAAGCTGCAGAACGTGAAGCTGCAGGCGGCACAGGAAGCAGTAGCCAATAGCCTCCCTGTGCATGGCTACGTGTGTCCTTGATTCATACCCTTTTGATCCGTCACCTCCCCCCTCACACAGGAATACCATTGCTTTCCTGTGGGGAGAGAGCACATCATTCCTGGACACTTCTTTCACTTACTTTCGTCCTCAGTCGAGGACGTGGGAGTTCCCAAGGTATTTGGGTAGCATCAGGGGCAGGCAGCCATGAGGTGGGTGGTGAGCTGATTTGCTTTCTGCAGAGGAGCCCAGGGACAGTATCCATGTTAAACTCGTATGTCCATAGGAGGAAACCCAAGTCCTGTGGTCCCTGAAGTGTACTGGTGGTGGGAAGGGGAGAGGGCTGTGCATGCATGTACAAACAGCATTCCATGTGGGTGTGAAGCAATGACTGTGAGCTGCTTTGGGGAGTGGTAGGGTGCCATGGTCCATTTCATGATGACCTTAGGGTGTTGGGATGGGAATGAGATTTCAAGTCTATGTGCTCCTGCCACTTCGCAGATTGACTTGGATTGAGAGGTCTGTGTTCAGGACCCCCTGTGGGATGCTTGTCTGTGTTAGGCATTTGAGCAGATGTTGGCCCAGGGTTTCTACCCTTCCAAGGTTGTACATGCTGCTGGAAGGGCTTGTTGCTCCCTCTCTATTGATGAGGGGAAGTTTTGCTCAGGAGAGCCTGATGCCATCTGCTTCTGAACTGCTCAGGCACTTCAATGCAGTTGAGGTTGTAAGAGTGTGTCACTTCCCGTGTCATGGTAACATCCACTCAGAAAAGTGACCCGTCAAGGTCTCTGCACTTAAATTCTCCATTGTCTTGTGATGTTAGGTTATTTTCAAATTCCTCCTAATTCTTCACAACAGCCTTCTTTGCAAAATAGTCATCCAGTTGTATGAGGGCTGTCATCCACAGGCCAGTGACAGAGAGCTTTTGTACTCTGTGGCCATGTTCACAGGCAAGTGGCTTAATACGTATGGTGTTCTCAGGGACAGCACCGTAGAAGCCCTGTAGGATTCAGCATGTCTGATGCTTTTCCGGGTCTCTGAGCTGCACCTGTGAGGAAGGCCCAGAGGTGGAGATTGATTAGTGATTGTGTTTCTCAATTCTAAGTGTGTGGAAGGAGCCCATGGTAAAAACGCTTCAAGGCCGAAGGAAAGTTGCTCTTTGTGCTGGAACACTTTTTCCCTGCAGCTCTCCCCATTGAAATATCCTCATGACTGTTGTCTTCTCTGATGGCCGAGAGAATGGCTTTTGAGTCAAGAGTGGTGAAAGTGTGGTCTTGAGAGAGTTCCTCACGCTTAGTGTTTTCTAGTTTGACTGTGCCCTTGAAATGCATGCTTGTCTTATACCTTCATGCCTGGATATATCCATGCACACATCCCCAAAGAGAGGTCGCCCATGGGAAGTAGATACGGAATGCAGCATAGCAGGATAAATGGTATGGCCCTTGCAAACTGTGTACCTGCCTGCCTTTCTCAAGCACACCTGTTTTTCCTCTGCACTTCCCAGGTGGCATGGGCATGCAAAGACAGACAGAGGCTGCAGGGATGAACTTCATCTTGGGGGAATCTCTGGAGATGGCAGGGAACCCCTGGACACATGTGGCATGGGCTCCTTCGGGTGCCGGTGGATCCCTTTATATGGTAAGTGTTCATTTCTCAAAAGACCCTAATGTTCTTCCTTTACAGGAATGAATACTGTGCATGCATCAGTGACGACTTCCATACATGCATTCCTTGTATGGAAAGCTGAACAAAATGAGTGGGAACTCTATACTATCATCTTAGCTGAACTGAGGTCCACCGGGGCTAGAGAGGGACAACTCTCATTTTTTTTTTATTCCTGATGCATGAAGTGTTTGTCCAGGCTTAGGAAGGGATTCTGTTTGGGCAAAGGAGAGTCACAGGGGAGTTGAGGCTATGTGTACTGGACTTCCGTCTACGAGGCTGGGGTAGCACACATGCAGTCTGTGGGACTAGGCAAATGTGCAGGTTGCTCAGGGAGAGTTAACCTATAGCCTGCCTCTGGGTGGCCAGGATTGTCCTTCACTCCTGGCTCTGGGTTCCCACAACCCCTGGAGAAAGACAAGTGATTATCTTTGGGAAGACAGAACAAGGACATACTTTTGCCTTTTTTTTTTTTTTTTTTCATTCTTGGTTTGAGAACAGTGGAGTTCCAGTCATTTGGCATAGCTTTCAGGCAAGTGTGCCCATGTTGTGTCCCATTCATTGTGAGTACATGCATATGGCAGGAACACAGAGGTTCCTACTGCAAGCTGGGCCTGATAGGCAAGGAGTCTCTAGCTTAACCCCAGCTCAGTGTCGGTCAATGACTTCCTCATTAAAATTGCATGGCCCCGTAGCTTTAGTGAGTGACATTATAGGTGTCGACGTAAGGATGTTGAGAGGGAAGCTCAGTGTCACTGCTCTTTAGTGTGCTGATGCACTACAGGGGCACCTGAGCCCTTGTCCGTGCATTTCTGTGTCCAAAATCAGGTAAAATCAGAGTTGGGTATCAACCAGATATACTGCAGGGGACCAGAAGACATGGCCTTTGTGTACTGTACATCTGTCAGATTTTCTCAAGCACACCCATGTTTTCTCTTCACCTCCCAGGTGGCCATGATGAATTGGCCAGGCCCATGTTGGTGAGGGACAATCATCATCTCGTGCTATTCTCAGAGATGCCAGGAAGCTCCTGGACACACATGGTGTAGGCTTCTTTGGAGGCTGTTGGATCCCTCCTGAATGTAAGCAGTTCCTTCCCACTGCACCCTGATTTTCCTCATTTGCAGAAACAAAGATTGTGCATGGATCGATGATGACTTCCATATATACATTCCTTGGAAAGCTGAACAAAATGAGTGAAAACTCTATACCGTCATCCTCGTCGAACTGAGGTCCAGCACATTACTCTAACGGGTTAGACGGAGAGGGCCGACATTCATTCACTGACATGGGTTCCACCAAGGGTCCCATCCAGGCTTAGGATGGGGTTTCTTTGGGTGAATGGTGGACACAGGGGAGTAGGAGCTCCCATGCACAAGACATTCATTGTTTGAAGGACTTCTGTGTCCTAGGGCGGATAACTCACGCACTATATGGAGGACTAGGTGAATGGCAGATTGCATGGGAAGAGTTAACTGGTAGCCTGCCTATAATAGGGTGGCCAAGTTTGTCCTTGAGTTCAAGCTGTGGGTACCAAAGTCCCTCAGAGGAAGACAGATCCTTCTGGTTGCGGGGAGAGCAAAAGGCTACACCTTTGCCATTTGTTGGCTCATTTTGTCTTTGGCTGAGGATGTTGGAGTTGTGTTTACCTGGCATAGCCTCTGTGCCTCTGTGCCCATTTTGTATCCTGTGCATTGTGAGGATGTGTATTTGGCATGAACAGGTAGGCTTCCTCTCCAAACTGGGGCTGATAGACAGTGAGGCTCTGGGTTATCCCAAACCAGATAGAGGTCAATGACTTTCTCTTTAGGGGTGCGGGGCCTTGATGATTTTGTGACTGGCATTGCCGGTGTTGAAGCAAGGATGTTGAGAAGGATGCTCAACATTAGTGCTCTTCAGCAGGATGATGCACTCCAAGGGCCGCCATCCCCAAGACGAGCATACTTGTGTCCATACATTTCTGGGTTCACGTGAGAACAAGGGAAGCCAGAGACAGGCGTATTCCAGATAAACCACAGGGGGGCAGATAGCATGGCCCTCGTGACCTGTGCACCTGTCTGCCTTTCTGAAGCATGCTTCTGGGTCCTGTGCACTTCGCAGGTGATGGTGTAAAAGGCAAACCTGTGTCATGAGGGATGATCATCGTCTTGTGTGGTCCTTGGAGATGGCAGGAAGCCCTGGACAATACACAGTGTTCGCTCCTTCAGAGGCTGTTGGAATCCTCCTGGATGTAAGTGATTCTACTCCAAAGCACCCTGAGTTTCCTCATTTGCAGGGATGGAGATTGTGTGTGGATCGATGATGACTTCCATATATACATTCCTTGGAAAGCTGAACAAAATGAGTGAAAACTCTACACCGTCATCCTCGTCGAACTGAGGTCCAGCACACTGCTCCATCAGGGGCTCAAAAGAGAGAGGAACAATGTCCATTTGTTGACACAGGCTGCACCAAGGCTTCGGATGGGGTCTTTTTCTGGCAAAGGAGAGTAGCTGGGAATTTTGGACATTTGTAACTAAGAGACAGCTTGGTTGCAGGCAGTCAGGTGTGTCCGCGATTTGTACCCTTGGGTCCCTTGACCTTCAGAGGAAGACTATTGCTTCCACGGTGGGGGACAGCACAAGGTCATTCCTGGGCACCTCTTGCACTCACTTTCATCCTTGGCCAGGGACATAGGACTTCCCATGGTGTTTGGATAACATCAGGGGCAGGCAGTCGTCAGGAGGATGGCGATGCTGATTTGCTTTCTGCAGAGGAGCCCAGAGAGCGTATCCATGTTGAACTTGTATGTCCCTAGGAGGAAACCCAAACTGCATGGCCCCTGAAGGGTCCTGGTACTTAGAAGGGGAGAGAGCTGCACATGCATTTACCACAGTCTTCTGTCTGGGTCGTGGAGAGATGACTGTGAGCCTCTTTTGGGTGTTGTAGGGTGCATATGGTTTATTTATGATGACCTTGGGATGCTGGGATGGCAGTGTAATTGCGAATCCACATGTTCCCTCAACTCCACAGACTGACTTGGTTTGTCAGGTTTGTGTTCAGGCCCTCTGTTGCTTGTCTCCGTTAAGAATTTGAGATGGGGCTGGGCGTGGTGGCTAATGCCTGTAATCCTAGCACTTTGGGAGGCCAAGGCGGGTGGATCACCTGAGGTCAGGAGTTCAAGACCAGCCTGGCTAACATGGCGAAACCCCATTTCTATTAAAAAAAAAAAAAAATTAGCTGGGCGTGGTGACGGGCGCCTATAATCCCAGCTACTCGGGAGGCTGAGGCAGGAGAATTGCTTGAACCCAGGGGGCAGAGGTTGCAATGAGCCAAGACCAGGCCACTTCACTCCAGCCTGGGCAAAAAAGCGAAACTCCATCTCAAAAAAAAAAAAAAAAAAAAAATTTGAGGTGATATCAGCCCAGGTCAACATGTTGTGCATACTGCTGGCAAAGGTTGTTTGCTCCCTGTTTCCCTGTGTTGATTTGGGGATGGTTTTCTCAGGAAAGGCTGATGTCATTTTTCTCTGAGTTGCTCACACAATTCCATGTGGCTCAGGTGCCTGGTGATACGTGTGTGAGCTCCCGTATCATGGTGACTTCTACTTAGTAAAGCAATCCAGCAAGGTCGCTGTGTTTAAATACCTCAGTGCCTCATGATGTTAGACTATTTTTAAATTCTTTCTAATTCTTCACAACAGACTTGTTTGTGAAATAATCATCCTGTGGTAGGACAGGGCTAGTGTTCACAGACCAGTGATGGATAGGTTTTGGACTCCACGGTCATGTTTGCATGCAAGTGCCTTAAGATGTATGCTGTTCTCAGCCGCAGCACCTTAGAAGCCCTGTGGGATTCAGTGTGTCTGGTGCTTTTCTGGGCCCCTGGGCTGCACCTGTGGGAAAGACCCCGAAGTGGAGGTTGATTTGTGATTGAACATGTTTCTTGAATGTGAAGTGTGTTGACAGATCCTTGCAGTAAAAATGCTTCAAGGCTGAAGGAAAATTGCCCTCTGCACAGGAAGAGTTTTTGTTCCCTAAAACTCTCCGCATTCAGATATCTCTGTGGTCTGTGGCTTCTCTGATAGCCAAGGGAAGGGCTTTTGAGTCGGGGCATCAAATGAGTGGTGTTCAGAGTTCTTCACACTTAGTACTCTGTAACTTGATGGTGCCCTCAAAAGGTATGTGTGACTCAGACCTTCCTGCCTGGTGCTCCTGTGCACACATCCTCAAATGGGTGTCCCGTGGGAAGTAGCGATAGGATATCCCACAGGGGGTTGAATGGCATGCCTGTCTTTCTCAAGCACACCCGTGTTGCCTCTGTACTTCCTAGGTGGTGTGGGCATGGAAGGAAGGCCAGTGGAGACAATGGATGATCTTGCTCTTAGAAGATCACTGGAGGTGGCAGGGAGTCCTAGGACACGTGCGGCGTGGGCCTCTTCAGGTGCTGGTAAGTATCTGTTCCCCACAACCCCCTAATATTACTCCTTTGTGGACATGAAGACTGTGCATGGATCGATGATGACTTTCATACATGCATTCCTTGGAAAGCTGAACAAAATGAGTGAAAACTCTATACCGTCATCCTCGTCGAACTGAGGTCCAGCACATTGCTCTTACAGGGGCTGGAGTGAGCGCCAAGTTTCATTTGTTGCTGCAGGTTGCACCAAGGGGGTTGTTCAGTTGTAGAAGGCGCTCCCTTTCTGCAAGGGGTAGTCACAGGGTTGTGGGATCTCTCATAAACAGGAAATTGTTTGAGGGACTTCTCTCTGCAAGGTAACACACACGCTGTCTGCGGGACTATGTGAACGTGGAGGTAGCATGGGAAGACTTAGCCTGTAGGCGGCCTCTGGTGGCCGTATTTGTCCTTGAGTCTTAGCTCTGGGTTCCATCATTCCCTTGAGGAAACACAGGTGTTTGTGCTTGGGAAGAGAGCACAACGCCACACCTTTGCTGTTTTTTCCACTCATTTTCATCATTGTTCAAGGACATTGCAGTTCTGGTTATATCTGTAAACAGGGAAGCCAAAGACAGGCAGATACCAGATATACCATAGGGGGCCGGATGACACGGCCCTCATGACCTCTGAATGTGTCTGCTTTTCTGAAGCACACTTGTGTTTCCTCTGCACCTCCCAGGTGCTGTTGGCATGAAAGGAAAGGAGGTATCTTCGAGGGACAATCTTCGCCTTGTGCGATCCTCGGAGATGCCACGAGGACTCTGGACACATGTGGTGCGGGCTCCTTTGGAGGCTGTTGAATCCCTTCTGAATGTAAGTGTCCACTTTCTAAAGTCCTGATTTTCCTCATTTTCGGGCATGAATAATGTGCATGGATCGATGATGACTTCCATATATACATTCCTTGGAAAGCTGAACAAAATGAGTGAAAACTCTATACCGTCATCCTCGTCGAACTGAGGTCCAGCACACTGCTCATCAGGGGCTAGAGAGAGGGACAACATCCATTTGTTGACACGGGCTGCATCAATGCTTGGGATGGGGTTGTCTTTGGGCGAAGTGGAGTAGCTGGGCATTTTGGACTTCTGTGGCTGAGAGACAGCTTGGTTGAAGCATTTCCCTCTGTGCGGCTGTGTGTGTCATCGATTCATACCCCTTGGCTCCTGCCCTCCCCCGAGGAAGACAGTGGCTTCTGCATGGGGACATAGCACAGTGTTGTTCCCAGGCACTTCTTCGGCTCACTCTTATCCTAAGTCGGAGACATGGGAGTTCCCATGGTGTTTGGGTATCATCAAGGGCAGGCAGTCGTGAGGAGGGTGGCAATACTGATTTGCTTTCTGCAGAGGAGCCCAGATAGAGTATCCACATTGAACCTGTATGTCCATAGGAGGAAACCCAAATCTCATGGCCCCAGAAGCATGCTGGCAGTGGAAGGGGAGAGAGCTGTGCATGTGTGTACTGCACAGCCTTCTGTCTGGGTCACAGAGTGATGACTGTGAGTCTCTTTCGGGCATTGTAGGGTGCCCATGGTCCATTTCATGATGACCTCAGGGTGCTGGGATGGGAACGTCATTGTGGGTCCACGTGCTCCTGCATCTCTGCAGACTGACTTGTGGAAGGTCTGTGTTCAGGAACCTCTGTGGGAGGCTTTTCCTTGGTGCATTTGAGGTGCCTGATGATGAGCGTGTAGGTTTCCGTATCCTGGTGACTTGTACTCAGAAGTGTGACCCAGCAAGGTCTCTGTGCTTAAATACCTTAGTGGCTCGTGATGTTATTTTCAAATTCCTCCTAGTTGTGTGTGACAATTCACACAAGTCTTTGTGAAATTGTCTTTGAATTATATGACAGGGCTAGTGTCCGTAGGCCAGTGATGGATAGGTTTTGGACTCCATAGCCATGTTCACAGCCAAGTGCCTTAAGATATTTGGTGTTCTCAGTCTTAGTGCCTTGGAAGCCCTGTAGGATTCAGTGTGTCTCATGCTCTTCTGGGTCCCCGAGCTGTACCCTTGAGGAAAACTATGAGGTAGAGGTTGATTTGTGATTGAGCATGTTTCTCAGTGGGAAGAGTGTCAAAGGAGCCTGGGGTGAAAGTGTTTCAAGGCCAAAGGAAAATTGCCCTTTGCTCAAGAAGAGGCTTTCCTTGAAACTGTCCTCATTGAAATAGCCTCATGGATTTCATCTTCTCTGATGGCCAAGAGCAGGACTTTTGATTCAGAGGTGGCAAATGAGTGGTGTTGAGAGAGTTTGTTATGCTTGGTGCTCTGTAGCTGGATGGAGCCCTCAAAATTTCTGTGTGCCTGATAGCTTCATGCCTGGTTACACCCATGCACATGTCCCAACAAGAGGGGCTGCCCGTGGGAGATACATACATGATACATCACAGTGGGATGAATGGCATGGCCCTTGCAACGTATGTACCTGCCTGCTGTTCTCAAGCACACCTGTTTTTCCTCTGAACTTTCCAGGTGTTGCGGGCATAGAAGGAAGGCCATGAAGGACAATTTTGGTCTTGGGAGATCCCTGGAATTGATAGGGAGCCCCTTGATATGTGTGGCATGGGCTCCTTCAGGTGCTAGCGGATTCCTTAGGATGGTAAGTGTCCATTTCTCAAAAGCTCCAGATACTCCTCCTCCGCAGGGACAAAGACTGTGCATGGATCGATGATGACTTCCATATATACATTCCTTGGAAAGCTGAACAAAATGAGTGAAAACTCTATACCGTCATCCTCGTCGAACTGAGGTCCAGCACGTTGCTGTTACAGGGGCTAGAGAGAGAGGGACAAATTTCATTTGATGATGCCCATTGCACCAAGGGAGTCCATCCAGGGTTAGGATGGGGTCTCCTTGGGTACAGAGATTGGCAGGGGAGTGGAGGCTAGGTACACAGGAACATTCTTGTCTGAAGGACTCTGTGAGGCCAGGGTACCACACATGCTGTCTGCAGGAGTAGGTGAATGTGCAGGTGCCCAGGAAGAGTTAGCTTGCAGCCTGCCTCTGCATGGCAGTTTGTCCTTGGGTCCTGGCTCTGGGTTTCCATGGTCCCTTGGAGGAAGACAGGTGATTGCACTTGAGAAAAGAGAGCATAGTGCCAGACTTTTATTGTTTTTCTGCTCATTTCATCCTTCACGAGGACCAGTGAAGTTGTGGTCCAGCAGGCGTAGCGTTCAGGCCGGTGTGCCCATGTTGTATCCCATGTGTTTGTGAGCACATGCATAGTGGCGTGACACACATAGGCTCCCATCCAAGCTGAGTCCGATAGGCAGTGAGGTCTGGCTATTCCTGATCCCGGTGTAGGTCAAAGCCTTCCCATTAGGATGCATGGCCCCGAGGGCTATTGTGAGGTGCATTGCAGGTGTGAAAGCAATGGTGTTGAGAGGGATGCTCAACATAGTGCTCTTTAGCAGGATGATGCTATAGGGCACCCTGGACCCAGACATGCATCCCCATGTACTTGCATTTCTGTGTCGTAAAGAGTTGAAGCCAGAGAACAGGCAGATTCCAGATGTATCGCAGGGGGCTGAATGACATGGCCCCTTGTCACCTGTGTACCTGTCCTGCCTTTCTGAAGCATGCTCGTGTTTCCTCTACACGTCCCAGGTAGCACTGGCATGGAAGGCAGGCCCGTGTTGGCGAGGGACAATTGTTATCTCATGTGAGCCGCGGAGATACCAGGAAGCCCCTGGACACAATGGCAAAGACTCCCTCGGAAGTTGTTGGATCCCTTCTGAATGTAAGCAGTTCTTTCCCAGCGCACTCTGATTTTCCTCATTTACAGGGACAAACACTGTGCGTGGATCGATGATGACTTCCATATATACATTCCTTGGAAAGCTGAACAAAATGAGTGAAAACTCTATACCGTCATCCTCGTCGAACTGAGGTCCAGCACGTTACTCCAATAGGGGCTAGACAGAAAGGGCCAACATTCGTTTGTTGATATGGGTTGCACCAATGGGTCCATCCAGGCTTAGGATGGGGTCCCCTTGGGCAGTGCTCCCATGCACAGGAAATTGCTTGTCTGAAGGACTTCTTTCTCCCTGGGCGGGATAACTAACGTACTGTCTGAAGGACTAGGTGAATGGCAGGTGGCATGGGAAGAGTTTGTGTGTAGCCTGCCTCTGGTGGCCAAGTTTGTTCTTGAGTCCAAGCTCTAGATTCCCAGAGGAAGACAGATCCTCTGGTTGTGGGGAGAGCACAAGGCTACACCATTCTCATTTGTTAGCTCATTTTGTCCTTGGCGGCGGACGTTGTATTTCCAGGCACTCAGCATAGCCTCTTAGCCGCATGCCCATGTCATATCCCGTATGTTATGAGGATTTGTGTGTTGCCTGATCAGGCAGTCTTCTGCTCCAAGCTGGGGCTGTCAGGCAAGGAGTCTCTGGGTTATTCCAAACCTGATTTAGGTCAGTGTCTTCCTCTTTCGGGGTTTGTGGTCCCAAGGCTTTTGTGAGTGCCATTGCAGGTGTTGAAGCAATGATGTTGAGAGGTATGCTCAACGTCAGTGCTCTGTAGCGGGATGGTGCACCCCGAGGGCCTCCAGCCCCGAGATGAGCATCCCCGTGTCCATGCATTTCTGCGTCCGTGAACAGGGGAGGCCAGAGACAGGCAAATAGCAGATGTATCACAGGGCACTGGATAACATGGTCCTGTGACCTGTGCACCTGTCTGCCTTTCTGAAGCACGCCTGTGTTTCCTCTGCACTTCGCAGGTGGCGTTGGCATAAAAGGCGGGCTTGTATCATGAGGAATGATTGTCATCTCGTATGATCCTTGGAGATGGCAGGAAGCCCCTGGACACACATGGTGTGGACTCCTTCAGAGGCTGTTGAAACCTTCCTTAATGTGAGTGATTCCATCCCAAAGCACTCTGAGTTTCTTCATTTGCAGGGATGACACCTGTGCTTGGATCGATGATGACTTCCATATATACATTCCTTGGAAAGCTGAACAAAATGAGTGAAAACTCTATACCGTCATCCTCGTCGAACTGAGGTCCAGCACATTACTCCAGCAGGGACTAGACAGACAGGGCCAACATCCGTTTGTTGACATGGGTTATACCAAGGGGTCTGTTCAGGCTTAGGATGGGGTCTTTTATGGGTGAATGGGGTCACAGGAGTGGTGGCTCTCACGCAGAGGAAATTTCTTGTTTGAAGGACTTCGTCGGTGAGGGTGGGTAACACATGCATTGTCTGTAGGACTAAGTGAATGTCCATGTGGCCTAGCAAGAGTTAGCTGGCAGCCTACTCTGGTTGCCAGTTTGGTCTTGAGTCCTTGCTCTGGGTTCTCAGGTCCCCTGGAAGAAACACATCTGTCTAGTTGGGAGGAGGTACAAGGCCACATCTTTGTCATTTGTTGGCTAACTTTGTCCTTGGTTGAGGACATTAGAGTTTTGGTCACCGGGCATAGCCTATGTGCCTGTGTGCCTGTGTTATATCCCATGTGATTTGGGGACATGTATTTCGCACGAACAGGTGAGCTCCTGCTCCAAGCTGGTTATGATACCCAAGGGCCCTCTGGCTTCTCCTAAACCCGATAGAGGTTAAAGCCTTCCTCCTTAGGGGTTCATGGTCCCAAAGCTTTTGTGAGTGGCATGGCTGGTATTGAAGCAGTGATGTTGAGCGGTATGGTCAATGTCAGTGCTCTTTAGCAGCATGGTGCACTGCAGGGGCCTCCAGCCCCGAGATGAGCATCCCCACATCCGTGCATTTTGCGTCCATGAACAAGGGAGGCCACATAAAGGCAGATAGCAGATGTACCCCAGGACACTGGATAACATGGCCCTGTGACCTGTGCACCTGTCTGCCTTTCTGAAGCACGCCCGTGTTTCCTCTGCACTTTGCAGGTGGTGTTGGCGTCAAGGCAGGCTCGTATCTTGAGGAATGATTGTCACATCGTATGATCCTTGGAGATGGCAGGAAGCCTCTGGACACACATGGTGTGGACTCCTTCAGAGGCTGTTGAAACCTTCCTTAATGTAAGTGATTCCATCCCAAAGCACTCTGAGTTTCTTCATTTGCAGGAATTAAATCTGTGCTTGGATCGATGATGACTTCCATATATACATTCCTTGGAAAGCTGAACAAAATGAGTGAAAACTCTATACCGTCATCCTCGTCGAACTGAGGTCCAGCACATTACTCCAGCAGGGACTAGACAGACAGGGCCAACATCCGTTTGTTGACATGGGTTATACCAAGGGTTCTGTTTGGCCTTAGGATGGAGTCTTTTATGGTTGAATGGGGTCACAGGAGAGTGGTGGCTCCCAGGCATAGGAAATTTCTTGTTTGAAGGACTTTGTCAGTGAGCGTGGGTAACACATGCATTGTCTGCAAGACTGGATGAACGTCCATGTGGCCTAGCAAGAGTTAGCTGGTAACCCGCCTCTGATTGCCAGTTTGTTCTTGAGTCCTTGTTCTGGGTTCTCAGGTCCCCTGAAGAAACAGATCTGTCTAGTTGGGAGGAGGGTACAAGGCCACAACTTTGTCATTTGTTGGCTAACTTTGTCCTTGGTTGAGGACATTAGAGTTTTGGTCACTGGGCATAGGCTGTGTGCCTGTGTTATATCCCATGTGATTTGGGGACATGTATTTCGCATGAACAGGTGAGCTCCTGCTCCAAGCTGGTTATGATCCCCGAGGAGCCTCTGGCTTCTCCTATACCCGATAGAGGTTAAAGCCTTCCTCCTTAGGGGTTCATGGTCCCAAAGCTTTTGTGAGTGGCATGACAGGCATTGAGGCAGTGATGTTGAGAGGTATGTACAATGTCAGTGCTCTTTAGCAGCATGGTGCATTGCAGGGGCCTCCAGACCCGAGATGAGCATCCCCACATCCGTGCATTTTGCGTCCATGAACAAGGGAGGCCACATAAAGGCAGATAGCAGATGTACCCCAGGACACTGGATAACATGGCCCTGTGACCTGTGCACCTGTCTGCCTTTCTGAAGCACGCCCGTGTTTCCTCTGCACTTCGCAGGTGGTGTTGGCGTCAAGGCAGGCTTGTATCATGAGGAATAATTGTCATCTCGTATGATCCTTGGAGATGGCAGGAAGCCCCTGGACACACATGGTGTGGACTCCTTCAGAGGCTGTTGAAGCCTTCCTTAATGTAAGTAATTCCATCCCAAAGCACTCTGAGTTTCTTCATTTGCAGGGATGAAATCTGTGCGTGGATCGATGATGACTTCCATATATACATTCCTTGGAAAGCTGAACAAAATGAGTGAAAACTCTATACCGTCATCCTCGTCGAACTGAGGTCCAGCACGTTGCTGTTACAGGGGCTAGAGAGAGAGGGACAAATTTCATTTGATGATGCCCATTGCACCAAGGGAGTCCATCCAGGGTTAGGATGGGGTCTCATTTGGGTAACAGAGATTGGCAGGGGAGTGGAGGCTAGGTACACAGGACATTCCTTGTCTGAAGGACTCTGTGAGGCCAGGGTACCACACATGCTGTCTGCAGGAGTAGGTGAATGTGCAGGTTGCCCAGGAAGAGTTAGCTTGCAGCCTGCCTCTGCATGGCAGTTTGTCCTTGGGTCCTGGCTCTGGGTTTCCATGGTCCTTGGAGGAAGACAGGTGATTGCACTTGAGAAAAGAGAGCATAGTGCCAGACTTTTATTGTTTTTCTGCTCATTTCATCCTTCACCGAGGACAGTGAAGTTGTGGTCAGCAGGCGTAGCATTCAGGCCGGTGTGCCCATGTTGTATCCCATGTGTTGTGAGCACATGCATGTGGCATGAACACGTAGGCTCCCACTCCAAGCTGAGTCCGATAGGCAGTGAGGCTCTGGCTTATCCTGATCCCGGTGTAGGTCAAAGCCTTCCCATTAGGATTGCATGGCCCCGAGGCTATTGTGAGGTGCATTGCAGGTGTGAAAGCAATGGTGTTGAGAGGGATGCTCAACATTAGTGCTCTTTAGCAGGATGATGCTATAAGGGCACCCTGGACCCAGACATGCATCCCCATGTACTTGCATTTCTGTGTCCGTAAAGAGTTGAAGCCAGAGACAGGCAGATTCCAGATGTATCGCAGGGGGCTGAATGACATGGCCCTTGTCACCTGTGTACCTGTCTGCCTTTCTGAAGCATGCTCGTGTTTCCTCTACACGTCCCAGGTAGCACTGGCATGGAAGGCAGGCCCGTGTTGGCGAGGGACAATTGTTATCTCATGTGAGCCGCGGAGATACCAGGAAGCCCCTGGACACAATGGCAAAGACTCCCTCGGAAGTTGTTGGATCCCTTCTGAATGTAAGCAGTTCTTTCCCAGCGCACTCTGATTTTCCTCATTTACAGGGACAAACACTGTGCGTGGATCGATGATGACTTCCATATATACATTCCTTGGAAAGCTGAACAAAATGAGTGAAAACTCTATACCGTCATCCTCGTCGAACTGAGGTCCAGCACGTTACTCCAATAGGGGCTAGACAGAAAGGGCCAACATTCGTTTGTTGATATGGGTTGCACCAATGGGTCCATCCAGGCTTAGGATGGGGTCCCCTTGGGCAGTGCTCCCATGCACAGGAAATTGCTTGTCTGAAGGACTTCTTTCTCCCTGGGCGGGATAACTAACGTACTGTCTGAAGGACTAGGTGAATGGCAGGTGGCATGGGAAGAGTTTGTATGTAGCCTGCCTCTGGTGGCCAAGTTTGTTCTTGAGTCCAAGCTCTAGATTCCCAGAGGAAGACAGATCCTCTGGTTGTGGGGAGAGCACAAGGCTACACCATTCTCATTTGTTAGCTCATTTTGTCCTTGGCGGCGGACGTTGTATTTCCAGGCACTCAGCATAGCCTCTTAGCCGCATGCCCATGTCATATCCCGTATGTTATGAGGATTTGTGTGTTGCCTGATCAGGCAGTCTTCTGCTCCAAGCTGGGGCTGTCAGGCAAGGAGTCTCTGGGTTATTCCAAACCTGATTTAGGTCAGTGTCTTCCTCTTTCGGGGTTTGTGGTCCCAAGGCTTTTGTGAGTGCCATTGCAGGTGTTGAAGCAATGATGTTGAGAGGTATGCTCAACGTCAGTGCTCTGTAGCGGGATGGTGCACCCCGAGGGCCTCCAGCCCCGAGATGAGCATCCCCGTGTCCATGCATTTCTGCGTCCGTGAACAGGGGAGGCCAGAGACAGGCAAATAGCAGATGTATCACAGGGCACTGGATAACATGGTCCTGTGACCTGTGCACCTGTCTGCCTTTCTGAAGCACGCCTGTGTTTCCTCTGCACTTCGCAGGTGGCGTTGGCATAAAAGGCGGGCTTGTATCATGAGGAATGATTGTCATCTCGTATGATCCTTGGAGATGGCAGGAAGCCCCTGGACACACATGGTGTGGACTCCTTCAGAGGCTGTTGAAACCTTCCTTAATGTGAGTGATTCCATCCCAAAGCACTCTGAGTTTCTTCATTTGCAGGGATGACACCTGTGCTTGGATCGATGATGACTTCCATATATACATTCCTTGGAAAGCTGAACAAAATGAGTGAAAACTCTATACCGTCATCCTCGTCGAACTGAGGTCCAGCACATTACTCCAGCAGGGACTAGACAGACAGGGCCAACATCCGTTTGTTGACATGGGTTATACCAAGGGGTCTGTTCAGGCTTAGGATGGGGTCTTTTATGGGTGAATGGGGTCACAGGAGTGGTGGCTCTCACGCAGAGGAAATTTCTTGTTTGAAGGACTTCGTCAGTGAGGGTAGGTAACACATGCATTGTCTGTAGGACTAAGTGAATGTCCATGTGGCCTAGCAAGAGTTAGCTGGTAGCCTACTCTCGTTGCCAGTTTGGTCTTGAGTCCTTGCTCTGGGTTCTCAGGTCCCCTGGAAGAAACACATCTGTCTAGTTGGGAGGAGGTACAAGGCCACATCTTTGTCATTTGTTGGCTAACTTTGTCCTTGGTTGAGGACATTAGAGTTTTGGTCACCGGGCATAGCCTATGTGCCTGTGTGCCTGTGTTATATCCCATGTGATTTGGGGACATGTATTTCGCACGAACAGGTGAGCTCCTGCTCCAAGCTGGTTCTGATACCCAAGGGGCCTCTGACTTCTCCTAAACCCGATATGGTTAATGCCTTCCTCCTTAGGGGTTCATGGTCCCAAAGCTTTTGTGAGTGGCATGGCAGGCATTGAAGCAGTGATGTTGAGAGGTATGGTCAATGTCAGTGCTCTTTAGCAGCATGGTGCACTGCAGGGGCCTCCAGCCCCGAGATGAGCATCCCCACATCCGTGCATTTTGCGTCCATGAACAAGGGAGGCCACATAAAGGCAGATAGCAGATAGCAGATGTACCCCAGGACACTGGATAACATGGCCCTGTGACCTGTGCACCTGTCTGCCTTTCTGAAGCACGCCCGTGTTTCCTCTGCACTTTGCAGGTGGTGTTGGCGTCAAGGCAGGCTTGTATCATGAGGAATAATTGTCACCTCGTATGATCCTTGGAGATGGCAGGAAGCCCCTGGACACACATGGTGTGGACTCCTTCAGAGGCTTTTGAAACCTTCCTTAATGTAAGTGATTCCATCCCAAAGCATTCCTGAGTTTCTTCATTTGTAGGGATGAAACCTGTGCTTGGATCGATGATGACTTCCATATATACATTCCTTGGAAAGCTGAACAAAATGAGTGAAAACTCTATACCGTCATCCTCGTCGAACTGAGGTCCAGCACATTACTCCAACAGGGACTAGACAGAGAGGGCCAAAAAACATCCATTTTTTGATAAGGGTTATACCAAGGGGTCTGTTTAGCCTTAACATGGGGTCTTTTATGGTTGAATGGGGTCACAGGAGAGTGGTGGCTCCCATGCACAGGAAATTTCTTGTTTGAAGGACTTTGTCAGTGAGGGTGGGTAACACATGTATTGTCTGTAGGACTAAGTGAATGTCCATGTGGCCTAGCAAGAGTTAGCTGGTAGCCCACCTCTGGTTGCCAATTTGTTCTTGAGTCCTTGTTCTGAGTTCTCAGGTCCCCTGAAAGAAGACAATCTGTCTGGTTGGGAGGAGAATACAAGGCCGCATCTTTTTCATTTGTTGGCTAACTTTGTCCTTGGTTGAGGACATTAGAGTTTTGGTCACCAGGCATAGCCTCTGTGCCCATGTTGTATCCTGTGTCTTTGGGGGACATGTACATTGCATGAACAAGTGAGCTCCCGCTCGTTGGTTCTGATACTCGAGGAGCCTCTGGCTTATCTTAAACCCAATATAGATATAGGTGAAAGCCTTTCTCGTTAAGGGTCGAGGGCCCCCTGCTTTGTGAGCATCATTGTAGGTATTGAAGCAACGATATTGAGAAGGATGCTAAATATGCTCTTTAGTGGGATGATGTACTCTGAAGGCACCTGACCCCCAGACGAGCATCCCTGTGTCCATGCATTTCTGTGTTTATGAACAGGTGAGGCCAGAGACAGGCGGACAGCAAATGTATCACAGCGGGCTGGATGACATGGCCCTTGGAACCTGTGCACATGCCTGCCTTTCTGATGCATGTCCGTGTTTTCTCTGCACCTCCCCAGTGGTGTTCGTGTAAAAAGCAGGCTCATGTTAGCAAGGAATGATTGTCATCTCATGTGATCCTGCGAGATGGCAGAAGTCTGGGGCCACATGGAGTGTGGGCTCCTTCGGAGGCTGATGGAACCCTCCTGAATGTAAGTGATTCCTTCCTAAAGCGTGCTGATTTTCCTCATTTGCAGAGGCAAAGACTGGATCGATGATGACTTCCATATACACATTCCTTGGAAAGCTGAACAAAATGAGTGAAAACTCTATACCGTCATCCTCGTCGAACTGAGGTCCAGCACACTGCTCCATCAGGGGCTAGAGAGAGGGACAACATCCATCTGTTGAGACGGGCTGTGTCAACACTTGGGATGGGGTCGTCTTTGGGTGAAGTGGAGTAGCTGGGCATTTTGGACTTCCGTGGCTGAGAGACAGCTTGGTTGAAGCGCTTCCCTCTGTGCGGCTGTGTGTGTCCTTGATTCATACCCCTTGGCTCCTGCACTCCCCCGAGGAAGACAGTGGCTTCTGCATGGGCAGACAGCACAGTGTTGTTCCCGGGCACTTCTTCGGTTCACTTTCATCCTCATTTGGAGATGTAGGAGTTCCCATGGTGTTTGGGTAGCAGTGGGGGCAGGCAGTCCTCAGGAGGATGGCGATGCTGATTTGCTTTCTGCAGAGGAGCCCAGAGCGGGTATCCATGTTGAACTTGTATGTCCCTAGGAGGAAGCCAGTCCCATCGCCCCGGAAGGGTCTTGGCAGTGGGAAGGGGAGAGGCCTGCATGTGCATTTACTGGACAGCATTCCATGTGGGTCGTGGAGCGATGGCTGTGGGCCTCTTTCAGACATTGTAGGGCGCCCACGTTTCGTTTCATGATGACCTCAGGGTGCTGGGACAGGAATGTGATGGCAGGTCCACGTGCTTCTGCAACTCCTCAGACTGACTTGGTCTGTGTTCAGGACCCTGTGTGAGATGCTTGTCTCCGTTAGGCATTTGAGCTTATATTGGCCCAGGGTTTCTACCCATCCTAGGTTGTGCATACTTTGCCTCTGAACCGCTCAGGCACCTCAGTGCAGTCAGCGTGCCTGATTGTAAGAGTGACTTCCCGCATCCTGGAGATCTCTACTCCTTGGTGGTCCAGGAAGGTCTCTGTGCTTAATTACCATAGTGGCTCGTGATGTTAGGTTATTTTCTAATTTCTCCTCATGCTTCCCAGCAGTCTTCTTTGTGAAATAGTCATCTTTTTGTAGGACAGGGCTAGTGTCCACAGGCAGTGATGCATAGGTTTTAGACTGTGCGGCGATGTTCATAGGAAAGTGCCTTAAAATGTGTGATGTTCTCAGCCACAGTGCCTTAGAAGCCCTGTGGGAGTCAGTGTGTCTGGTGCTCCTCTGGATCTCTGAGCTGCACCTGTGAGGAAGACGCTGAGGTAGAGGTTAAGTTGTTATTGAACGTTTTTCTCAATCTGAAAAGTGTTGAAGTAGCCCAGGGTGAAAAGTCTTCAAGACCGAAGGAAAATTGCCTTTTGTACTGGAAGAGTTTTTCCCCGAAACTCTCCTCATTTAAGTAGCCCTGTGGCCTTTGTCTTCTCTGATGACCAAGAGGAGGGCTTTTGAGTCAGTGGTGGTAAATGAGTGGTTTTGAGTGAGTTCTTACACTTAGGGCTCTGTAGCTTGATAGTGCCTTCAAAATTAACACATGCCTGATATCTTTGTTCCTGGGTAGACCCATACACCCATCCCAAAAGGGCAGTAGCCTGTGGGAAGTACATATGGGATACACCACAGTGAATTGAATGGCCTGGCCCTTTTGACATGTGTGCCTGCCTGCCGTTCTGAAGAACACCTGTTTTTCCTCTGCACTTCCCAGGAGTTGTGGCAATGGAAGTAAGGCCAGTGGCTACGAGGGACAGTCTTCATCTTGGAAGATCCATCGAGATGGCAGGGAGCCCCTTGACAAGTGGAATCTGGTCTCCTTTGGTGCTGCTGGTGGATCCCACAGGTTGGTAAATGTCCATTTTCCAAAAGCCCCTGATGTTCCTTCTTTGTAGGGATAAAGACTGTGCATGGATCGATGATGACCTCAATACATGCATTCCTTGGAAAGCTGAACAAAATGAGTGAAAACTCTATACCGTCGTCCTCATCAAACTGAGGTCCAGCACATGGCTCCAGCTGGGGCTGGAGAGAAGGACAACTTCCATTTGTTGATGCAGGTAGCACTAAGCCATCCATCCAGGCTTAGGATGGGGTCCACTTTGGATCATAGGGAGTCATGGGGCAGTAGGCGCTCCTGTGCCGAGGAGATTCGTTGTGTGAAGGCCTTCTCTCTGTGAGGCTGGGGCAGCATACACACTGTCTGCAGGACTAGGGGAATGTGCAGGTGGCACAGAAGAGTTAGCCGGTAACCCGCCACTGTGTGGCCAGGTTTGTCCTTGAGTGCTGGCTCTGGGTTCCCTTGTCCTCCAGAGGTAGATAGCTCCTTGTGGTTGGGAAGAGCCCAAGGCCACACCCTTGCTGTTCTTTGGCTCATTTTTCTCATGGCTGAGGACTTTTTAGTGCCCGTGGTGTTTTTGTAGCAGCAGCGGAAGTCAGTTGTGAAGAGGTTAGTGGTGCTTATTCTCTTTCTGGAGAATATCCTGTGGATTGGCTCCATGAGTGATTTGTATGTCCTCCGGAGAAACTGAAATCCCATGGCCAGCGATGGTTACTCCAGGTGGGGATGAGAAGGCGCCATGCATGTATTGACTTGGTACCCTAAGACGGGGATGGTCAGCCACGTTTGCGAGTGTGTACTGCACATCACAAATGCCATGTTGGCTTTGGGGTGCTGGGAGTGGAATATGATCTGATGTCTACATGGGAGGGCCTTTCCGCAGATGCCTTTTGTTTCCTGGCAGTCTTTGTTCCGTCCCCAGTCACATGTTTTTCTCCAGGGAACATTTTATTGGAGTATGTCGGGTCAATATCAGGAAAAAAAAAAAATGTTGTGGTTATCCCAGCATTAAGTGTGGTGATACAACAGCAGTGTGGATGGTAGCTCAAGTGAACCGCAGCAAAACCAAAATATATTGGTGTATGTAAGTGGCCCTATTCTCTCCTACCTATTAAGTCTATCAGTCTCTTCTTTCTGCAATAATCTCAGTGATCCAGAAACTTTTTCAGAAGGTCTTTTTTTTGATATTTCGTGTCCTTGTGGTTGTACTAGTACTCCCTGCAGTGCTAAGTCTGGGCCATTCTGCTATCCTAGTGCTACTGGAGTTTCCACTGTTTTGGGGGCACTGTCTGGTCATTGTGGACACCTCTCTTGGGGCTCTTTAACAAGAAGTACATTAGGGGTCAGGTTTGGGGCAGTGTTGACCTCCTGCCTAAGGTCAAAGGCAGTTTTCTTCCTAAATCTTATTGCAGGATTCACTGCCCAGGGGTTGTGTGACAAAATTAGGGTATCCCATGTGGACCTGTGTCCAATATCAAGGCAGTGTTGGATAATTTTCTGTATCTGCAAGGCTCCCATTGGACCCTTTATGTCCAGCAGACATTCACAGGCCAACTTTTCCCTTGTACACAGGGGCCCTCATTCCTGCCATGCAGAGCTTCCATGAAACCATCATTCAGGTTTTAAGTGCAAGGATTTCTCTTGAGAGTTTTAATTTGTTTCTTTTAACACACCATTTTCTTTTCTATAAATTCTGCTTTCTAGCAGAAAACAGATTGTGGTTTGTAGCACAGATGAAATTATCAGGTCATAGTCTACTTTTCTGCCCCATCTTGGATTAGTGAGCCTTTGAAATATGTTCCTTGATCACTGGCAATGGTTCTTGGAATACCAGACCTTAGTTACAAGCATTGCAGACCTACAAAGGTTTGTAGTTATTTTTAACTGTGTGAAGCAATGGATTTGTTTGTATCTTGTCACTCATGGCTGTCAGCAAAATTTAGGTGTTACTAAACCGGACCACACCCACAAATTATAGTGCCTCTGTTTCCTTCCGTAGTAGCCTGTGGGAAGTAAGTACAGGATGCACCACAACGGAATGAATGGCATGGCCCTTGAGACCTGTGTACCTGCATGCCTTTCTCACGCACACCTGTTTTGCCTCTCATTCCTAGGTGGTCTGACATGGAAGAAGGCCACAGGCTGCGATGGATGATCTTTGTCTTGGGGGATTCCTGGAGATGGTGGGGAGCCCCTGAGCACGTGCAGCACATGTGGCGTGGGCTTCTTCAGAAGCTGGTGGACCCCTCAGGATGGTAAATGTCCATTTTCCAAAACCTTTTGATATTCCATCTTTGTAGGTACAAAGACTGTGCATGGATCAATGATGACCTTTATATATGCATTCCTTTGAAAGCTGAACAAAATGAGTGAAAACTCTATACCGTCATCCTCATTGAACTGAGGTCTGGCACATTGCTCCAACAGTGGGTAGATAGAGAGGGAACACTTCCATTTGTTGACAAAGGTTACATTGAGGGGTTTGTCCAGCCTTAGGATGGGGTCCCCTTTGGGCAAAGGGAGTCGCAGGGGAGTGCGGCCTCCTGTGCACAGGAGATTCCTTGTGTGAAGGATTCCTCTCTGTGAGGGCAGGGAAGCACACATACTGTATGCAGGAGCAGGTGAATGTGCCTGTGGCACAGGAAGAGTTAGCGGGTAGCCTGTCTCTGCATGGCCAGGTTTGACTTGTCCTAGCTCTGCATTCCCTCCTCCCTTAGAGGAAGTCGGTTTCTTCAGGAGACTTAAATTTGTGGAATTTAGTAGAATATTATCCATATAATGTTCCCAGTGAATGCTAGGCATATCACCCAAGATGGCCAGGCTTCTGGCCATAAACCATAGTAAGTAGTAGGGTGTGCATATATCCATTAGGGAGAACCTGAAAGGCCCTTTTTTGGCCCTCCAAGGTGAACACCTGCACAAGCAAGTGAAGCACGCCATCTGCCTGTATGAGCCCCGTGTGCCTGGCCTGGCCTGTGCTCCTCACCATGTCTCCTACTTCTGTTGCCCCTTCGCCTTGCCAGGTGGAGTCTGACTGATTTTTGCCACTGCTGCTGCCACAGGCCACCTGGAGCCCCAGCCAGTTTGAGGAAAGTGGCTCTGCCTGATTTTCCTTTTTCTTTTTTTTTTTCCTCTTTTTTCTCCATTTCTGACTTCAACAGGTACTTGGAGTTGCTGCTTCTGCAGCCACAGAAGACTCCCCAGTTTGGAGGACTGTGGCTGTGGGCTCCCTAAGCATCTCTCTGCAGAGACCCTCTGTTTTCCATTTTACCCACCACGTCAATAACTAACACAGTGGCAGAGGAGTGCATGTCTCTTCCTATTTGTCATTACTGTTCTAAGTTGCACAGCTATACTCGGCCACTGGTCAGAATAAGAGAAAAAGCAGTGAAACCAGGAGGATCCTACAAGAAATACTCCGTTTCATTTTTGTTTGTGCATATACCTTTTCTGTTTAATTGTGGACTTCGATTTGATACGCTTCCAGTGCAGATACAGATTGCATATGTAAGAGAGTATGGAGTTGCATAGAAAGAAGACTTGTCATTTTCCTGTACTGTTGGTGTTCTAATATATCTTCGTGATTTTTTGCCTCTTCTGGCTTTAGAAGATACACCAACATGGTTTGCAACATAGCCTCTTCTTATTTTGGTAAGGGACCAAATGTGCATGTCAGTGATAGGTGTTACCTTGAATTTGGGTCAGTGCTTGTGTGATTATATTCAGTGATGTCATTTTCTCTCACACTCAAGTCACAAAATATTTAACCACTTATTTTTTTTTTTTATATCTGGAGGAATAATCCAAAAGATTGTGCTGTAAAGCTGGAACAGTTTCCAGTTATGCTAATTATTTGTATAATAACTTAGTTGACTTTATCCGTGGTTTGTTGGCTTTTTTTCCTGTAGCTCGTCAAGGTTTTTCTATGAGTTCTGTTAAAGAGTCAGAAAATGGAGCCTAGAAGACATACTTCAGTTTCCAGGATGGTTGTGTTTTCCAGAGAGCCATAGGTAAACCATTGGCACAGCCCTGCCTCCCACAGATAGTTCCGGGTGCAATGTTTCATATCTAGACTTGGACTTCTGTCCTACCATACTTCTTTGTGTGCAGGTATTTTGGGGGATAAAATTCTTGTTTTCACCTGTATAGATGTCTCGCATGTACTCTTGTGATGGTTTGATTTATCCATTGTGTTCACATTTCAGTGAGCACGATATGGGATTTAATTTCCAATCTAAAGTCTGTGACTGCCGGCTGGGCGCAGTGACTCACCCCTGTAATCCCAGCACTTTGGGAGGCCGAGGTGGGCAGATCATGAGGTCAGGAGATCACGACCATCCTGGCCAACAGGGCAAAATCCCGTCTCTACTAAAAATACAAAATACAAAAATTAACCATGCATGGTGTTGTGCGCCTATAGTCCCAGTTACTTGGGAGACTGAGGCAAGAGAATCACCTGATCCTGGGATGCGGAGGCTGCAGCAAGTTAAGATCATGTCACTGCACTCCAACCTGGGCAACAGAGACTCTGTCTAAAAAAAAAAAAAAGAAGAATATTATAATTATTTTCAACCTCATGTCTCTGTGTCACACACAGATCTATGAAGCTGTGTTCTTTTTTTTTTTCCGGAGTATTTTCTTTCTTGTCTAGATTAGCTAAATTTGATTGTTCTATTCTAAATTCACTTAATCACTACTCTATTATTTTTGAAATTTTCAGTTCTGTTTTTTCACTTGGTTCTTTTTTAAAAAAAAAAAAAAAAACTACTACTACCTCTCTGAGATTTCTACTTTTTTACTTTTTTCAATAAGCTTTATAATTATTTGCCAAAGCATTTTTACCATGACTGTTTTTAACTTCTTCAGATAAGCACAACATTTGGTTAATCTTGAGGCTGGATTAGTTAACTGTCTTTTCTCATCCTGCGTATGATTTTCCTTCTAATTGTGATTTTTCCAGTTCTTGTTAGATGGGTAATGTTTTAGTTTATCCTGCATTTTTTTTTCCTTTTTAAGTTAGGGGAATCTGAATCTATTCAAATGTTTTGTTTTAGCAGGCGTGTGCCCTGTTTAGGTTTAATTTGAATGTCCTGTCCTACATTTGTAGGCCATGTTTTCATAGGCAATCTTGCTATCAGAGCTGAGGGGGCGCTGTTCTGATCACTTAGTTTATCTGATGTTGCCGGTCCTCCAGCTCGTGCCTACTGGTACTTCCTGAGATGGCGAAGGGTTTTCTGTACTTCCAGATGCCGGGTATCTCTGTGTAGGGGGAGGAGACTCTGGACCACAGGAATGAAGAGAGCATCCTAGGTCAGGCAACTCAGTCATACGGGATAACCTGGGTCAACCAGCCAGTAGCTTCATGAACTGGGGGAGGGGATTCTCCAGTGTAGGGAACACGGAAGCTACGCATGGGAGAAGGGCTACAGCGTGGGGATCCCCAGGCCATTTGAACGGTAAATGTCTGTGTTACACATCTTTGCTCACTTTTTCTCTATCCTTGTAGTTCATTGTGGAACCATCACAGATTTCCATATGAAAGTTTTTTTTTTTAACCTCAAAAAGTGACAGAATGGAGTGTATCATGGAAAAATCTGACATCAAAACCTCAAAATGTGATATTGGTAAGCATTTTGTCCTGAGAATACCAGCATTTCCTCTTAGGGGATCATGACACTGCAGTGACCATGTGACCCTGGCTGTGCTCATCAGCCTGGGCTGGTCATTGACTGTGATGCTGGTCTCCATGCCTCCAAAGGTGGCAGCTGTGTGCTCAGTGTCTGCCACATGTCTCAGGCTCAAGGTCCCTTTTATAAGTGTGCCTGGATCGATGATGACTTAAAAATGGATCTCATCGGAATCTGAACAAAATGAGTGACCAAATCACTTCTGTGCCACTTCTGTGAGCTGAGGTCCAGCACAGGGACCGTGCCAGACAAACACGAGGAGGGCCTTCAGTTTGGTCAGCACTGGTACCAAAACGGCCTGTGGAATTAGAAAACTAACCAGCTCATATACAGTAGAGGAAATTATTGGACAGTTACCTACCAATATGTGGTTGGGGGTAAGATGGAGACTCTTCTAGTGCTTGGCTGGTAGCATCTATACACTGCAGTAACCAGACACTGGGGAGCCAGCACAGGAGTTACAGGATTTACAGGAAATTATTGTGCAAACCCACAAGCCATTCAGACGTTTGTGTGAGCGCTCAGAATATTCTGGTTGATGATTTGTTGCTTGATGGCAAAGAGTTTTCAGCATTCAAAGACATGAGTTTTTACTTCTCATTTCCTTTTAAGTGAAATAATCGCATGGAAATTAAAGAATATGCTCAAGCCTGTAATCCCAGCACTTTGGGAGGCCGAGGCAGGTGGATCACGAGGTCAGGAGATCGAGACTATCCTGGCTAACATGGTGAAACCCCGTCTCTACTAAAAAATACAAAAAAAAAAAAACTAGCCGGGCATGGTGGCGGGCGCCTGTAGTCTCAGCTACTTGGGAGGCTGAGGCGGGAGAATGGCGTGAACCCGGGAGGCGGAGCTTGCAGTGAGCCGAGATCACGCCACTGCACTCCAGCCTGGGAGACACAGCGAGACTCCGTCTCAAAAAAAAAAAAAAAAAAAGAAATTAAAGAATAATTATCTTATATGAAATATATGAAACTTATATGAAATATAAGATATTTGTATAAATACATGAAATCTTATCGTATATTTTCATTTGATTGCCAACCTAGTCACAAGGACTGAAACAGCTGTTTCTTTTTTGTTTTCCCATCAACCAAGCAAGCTGTTTAACACATGGTTCAGTGCTGGTTTCCACTACATGTTGCAGCAAACATTTTTAGAAGTGGTATTTCAAATTCTTGGATTTTCACATGGATTTCATTGTCTACTTTCATATGTCCTCCATGTGTGACCACTGTATTATTTAAAAGTTGTAATAAATGATTTTGAAGGGTATGTGCTGGAGGTTCTTTGGGATAAATGTTTTAGAAAACATTATTTCCATACAATTTCGATCAAAGACATGAGCATAATTGTTCTTGTTATACAGATGGTCCAATGAGTGTCTAATGTGAATTCTTATAACTGCTTATAACACAATAGTTCATTAAGCAAATCTTGTTTCACAACTTTCCTAATTTCTTCTGTACTCTGTAGATTGGGTGAGATAGAATTCCATGAAATTTCATTGCCAAACCAGTGAAGTGCTAATTTTGACATTTGTACCAGCTGATGTAGCTGTGAAGAAGCACATCAATACCACTTCTAAGGTAACATTCAATTTTTAGTGAATTTATTTTTGTGAGTTATTTTTATTCTTTTAAGTACTCAAGAATTTAGGTTCACAAAGAATTGGTTAATACTAACAGTTTCAGACATTAATATTCTGATGAGCTGAGGCATCAGTCTCTTTTTTTTAAAGATTTTGTTCTTTTCTCTATTTCGAATAACATGAAATGTCCAACAGGAGTTATAAGTTAGTGTGTATTCCATATATGTTAATAGTGAAACATCCTGTCTTAGGCACGGCTAAAAATTGTCCATGTATGCTTCTCAGATTCATATACATACTCTCTTCCAACAGGACAGCATAGACCAAGAACTGGGTTTCATATGGATGAATTTATTCTTCCTTTGAGGCAAGACAAGAAGGAAAGAAAGTATTGGGACTAATGCCATCCTCAAGGGCCAGTGGGAACTCTAATATTGGTAAGCCTTTTGTCCTGAGAATACCAACATTTCCTCTTAGGGAATCGTAACACTCTGGTAACCATGAGACTCTGGCTATGCTAGTCCACCATGGGCTGGTCATTGACTGTGATCTTGGTCTCCATGATTGAATAGTGTGGGTCGGTGTGTCCCAGTGACCAATGTGCTTAGTGTCTGCCACATATCTCAGACTCAAGGTCCCTTTTATAAATGTGCCTGGATCGATGATGACTATAAAAAAATGGATCTCATCGGAATCTGAACAAAATGAGTGACCAAATCATTTCTGTGCCACTTCTGTGAGCTGAGGTCCAGCACTGGGACCATGCCAGGCAAACATGAGGAGGGAGCGAGTTTACAGGGACTAGGGTATTGGAAAACTAACCTACCCATATATATTAGAGCAAATGAATTGTTCTCAGGTCTGTAAATATCCACCTGTGGTTTGACATAGCAAGTCTCTTTGTACTTGCTTGGCAGCATTTATGGAAACAGTTGGTAGACCCTGGGGAACCAGGACATAGTGAGACTCAAGGGACGTTATTGCACCTACCCTTGGGCCATTCACACATTTGTCTGAGCTCGCAGAATTTTCTGGTTGATGATCAGTCTCTTGAGGGTAATGAGAGGGTCAACATCCAAATCCAAAGATAATGAGATTTTACTTTTTTTTGAGATGGAGTCTCATTCCGTTGCCCAGGCTAGAGTACAGTGGCACAGTCTCGGCTCACTGCAACCTCTGCCTCCTGGGTTCACGAGATTCTCCTGCCTCAGCTTCCCGAGTAGCTGGGATTACAAGTGCCCGCCACCACTCCTGCCTAATTTTTGTATTTGTAGTAGAGATGGAGTTTCACCATATTGGCCAGGCTGGTCTCGAACTCCCGACCTCAGGTGATCCACCCACCACAGCCTCCCAAAGTGTTGGGATTACAGGCGTGAACTACCATGCCCGACCTTACTTTTTATTTTCAATTAAGTGAAACAATTACATGGAAATTAAAAAAAAAATGGTACTCTAAGTAGACTATTCTAGTGTATTTTAATGTTCTTGCCAATTCAGCCCCTAGGATTGTATCACTTGTTTTTTCTATTTTGGTTTTTCTTATGAAAAAGCAAACCATTGTTTTTATTTGAGTGCTGGATTCAACTATATACTGCCTCAAATAAACTTAGATTATATTTCAAATTCTTTTTTACATAGATTTCATTGGCTATATTCATATATCCTCAAAGGTTTCCATTGTGTTTGAAGAGATATCCTAATTGTAATAAATGCTTTTGATTGGGGATGCCAGGGGAACTTTGAGACTAATGTCTCAGATTTAAAAAAAAAAAGTTTATATTTTATAGTGATCAAGGATGTAAGAATAATTTTGTCATTCATTGGATAGTCCAGTGAGTGTCTAGTGTGAATTCTTATATTCCCTTGTAACTAAATATTCCATTTGGCAAATTTTGTTTCATAACTTCCCTAATTTCCTCTACACTTTGTAGATTGGGTGAGATACAATTCCATGGAATTTTACCACTGAACCAGTGAAGGGCTAATTTTGTCATTTGTACCAGTTAACTAATTTGGGAGGAAACAGAACAACACACTCCTGAGGTAGTATCCAATTTTTAGTAAATTTATTTTTATTATGTTTAAAACTGTCAGTGATTTGGTTTTGTGAACAATAGGTTAATACAATGTTAGGAATTATTAATCTGATGCGCTATCTGAAGCGTCAGTTTTCCTTAAGATTTTTTTCTTCTCTGTACTTTGGATAACATTTAAAACATTTCCAAGAGTTACAAATTAGTATGTTTTCTATGCTGATTAATAATGAAACCTTTTGTCTATACAAATTTTAAAAAATGGATGCGTGTGTGTGTGTGTGTGTATATATATATATAATCTCTTCTCACAAGATGATGCAGACCAAAACTGCATTTTACATTTTATATGGCCAAGTTTATTGTTTCCTTGTGTCGTAATATGATGGAAAGTAATGGGAATAATTCTGCTTCCTGTCCTTAGGGACCAGTAGGAATTTTCCCATGGTAAACATTTTGTCCTTAAAATACTGACATCCTGTTAAGAGATCATGACACTCCAATGACCATGGGACCCTGGCTATGCTAGTCCTCCAGGGGGCTGACCATTGACAGTGATGTTGGTCTCCATGATTAAATAGTGTGGGTCAGCATGTCCTAGGGTGACAGAAAGCTGTGTGATCAGTATCTGTCACATATGTCAGACTCAAAGTTCCTTTTTAAAATGTGCCTGGATCGATGATGACTTAAAGATTGATCTAATTTAAATCTGAACAAAATGAGTGACCAAAACACTTCTGTACCACTTCTGTGAGCTGAGGTCCAGCACAGAGACCACTCCAGTCAAACATGTTGCCTGGAATTGCAACTAGTTGGTCAGTTAGAAGTAACCACAGGGACTGGGGTATTTGAAAACCACTTGAGTGCCTTTATTGGAGGAAATGAATTTTACATTTGTGTATAAAAATTCAATTGTAGGGTAAAATGGAAACTCTGAGAGTTTGGTTGGCGGCATCTATATACCATAGAAACAGAGCCTGGGAAGCAGAACAGTGAGACCCAAGCGAAATGTTCCTGCCTGTACTTGGTCTGTTCCCACATTTGCCTGAACTACTGATTGACCTTTTGAGGGTGATGAGATGGTCAGAATCCAAGGATATTATGAGTTTTTACTTCTTATTTATTTATTTATTTATTTATTTATTTATTATTTGGGGTACATGTGCAGAACATGCAGTTCTGTTACATTGGTATACATGTGCCATGGTGGTTTGCTACACCCATCAACCTATCATCTACATTAGGTATTTCTCCTAGTGCTGTCCCTCCCATAGCCCCTGACCCACTGACAGGCCCTGGTGTGTGATGTTCCCCTCCCTGTGTCCATGTGTTCTCATTGTTCAACTCCCACTTATGAGTGAGAACATGTGGTGTTTGGTTTTCTGTTCTCATGTTTGCTGTAATGATGGTTTCAGCTTCATCCATGTCCCTGCAAAGGACACGAACTCATCCTTTTTTATGGCTGCATAGTATTCCATGGTGTATATGTGTCCCATTTTCTTTATCTAGTCTATCATTGATGGACATTTGGGTTGGTTCCAAGTCTTTGCTATTGTTAATAGTGCCGCAATAAACATATGTGTGCATGTGTCTTTATAGTAGCATGATTTATAATCCTTTAGGTATATACTTAGTAATGGGATTGCTGAATCAAATGGTATTTCCACTTCTAGATCCTAGAGGAATCACCACACTGTCTTCCACAATGGTTGAACTAATTTACACTACCAACAACACTGTAAAAGTGTTCCTGTTTCTCCACATCCTCTCCAGCATTTGTTGTTTCGTGACTTTTTTAATGGTCACCATTATAACTGGCATGAGATGGTGTCTCACTGTGGTTTTGATTCGCATTTCTTTAATGACCAGTGATGATGAGCCTTTTTTCATGTTTGTTGGCTGCATAAATGTCTTTTGTTTTACTTCTCATTTTCTTAAAGTGAAGCAATTTCATGTGGTATCTTCCAAGTGTATTTTAATCAGTTGCCAACCCAGCTGCTAAGATTGAACCAGTTGTTTTGTTTTTCTCTTTTTTTTCCTATTAATTTAGCAAACAATTTCATATATAGTTTGCTATCCTTCCCCATGGGGCCTGCATCTTCAGATTCAACTAACCATGGATTGAAAATATTTGACAAAAAATTGTATGGTTTCATCTGTACTGAAGATGTACAGTCTTTTTCTTTCTTTTTTTTTTTTTTTTTTTTTTTTTTTTTTTTTTTTTTTGAGACAGAGTGTTACTCTATCGCCCAGGCTGGAGTGTAGTGGCATGATCTCAGCTCACTACAACCTCTGCCCCCTGGGTTCAAGCGATTCTTCTACCTCAGCCTCCCAAATAGCTGGGATTACCGGCACCCACCACCATGCCCGGCTAATTTTTGTGTTTTTAGTAGAGATGGGGTTTCATTTTGTTGGCCGGGCTGGTGTCAAACTCCTGACTTCAAGTGATCTGCCTGCCTCGGTCTCCCAAAGTGCTGGGATTACAAGCATGAGCCACTGTGCCCAGCCAAGTGCAGTGTTTTTCTTTGGTCATTATTCCCTAAAAAACACAGTGTAACAGCTATTTACATAGTATTTACGTTGTATTCGGTATCATGAGTAATCTATAAATGATTTCCTGCATATCAGGATGTACATAGGTTCTCTGACAATAGTGCACACTGTGTTCGCTGTGTTTAAAGAAATGTGCTAGCTATAGAATAAATAAATTTGAAGTCAGTGTGCTGAGAAAGCACTGACATGGATAGAAAATATTCTATCTGTATAGAATAGACAGAATAGAATAGAATAGAAAAAATTCTATCTGTATCAGTCTGATCAAAGAAGTGAGTATAGTCTTGTCATACATACAGTCTAATGAATGTCTAAAGTTAATTCTTATAACTGCTTGTAACAATATTTCATTTGGCAAATGTTGTTTCACAACTTTCCTAACTGCCCCTGTACTTTGTAGATTGGTTGTCACAGAATTCCGTGGACTTTAACCAGTGATGCGCTGATTTTGTCATTTGTACCAGCTAACTCATCTGGGAGGCAACAAAACAATATTCTCCTGAGGTAACATCCAACTTTTAGTAAATTTATTTTTGTGGTTTGTGTTTTTTTAAGTAATTGAGAATTTCATTAGATGTACAAGGAGTCACTTAATACAAATAGTATTAGGCATTCAGTATTCTTATGAGATATCTGAGCCTTCAGTTTCTTTTAACATTTTACATTTTCTTCAACTTTAAATAACATCAGAAACATCCTATAAGTGTAATAAAATTCTGATACTTTACATATAGTTACCTAGTAAAGCCTCCTGTCTTATTTGAAAAATGAACATGTATACTTCTCATTCCCATGTATATAATCTCTTCCCACAGAATGAAGTGGACCAAGAACTGGGCTTCATACGGATGAATTTATGTTTTTCTCCATGTGGAGACGTGAAGGAAAAGTATAGGAAATAATTCTGCCTCCCACCCACAAGTCCCCATGGGAATTTCTCACATGTTAAAAAGCATTTTGTCCTGAAAATAACAACATTTTTTCTTAGGGAATCAGGACACTCCAATGACGGTGAGACTCTGGCTATGCCAGTCAGCCATGGGCTGGTCATTGACTGTGATGCTGGTCTCCATGATTGAATAGTGTGGGTCATTGGTGACAGATAGCTGTGTGCTCAGTGTCTGCCACGTATCTCAGGTTCAAAGTCCCTTTTATAAATGTGACTGGATCATGATGACTTAAAAATGGATCTCGGAATCTGAGCAAAACGAGTGACCAAACCACTTCTGTGCACTGAGGTCCAGCACAGGGACCATGCCAGGCAAACACATGGAGAGAGTTCAGTTTGGTCAGCAGCTGGTACCAAAATGGCCCATGGTATTGGAAAACAAACCCACTCACATAGGTTACAGCACATGAATTGTACAGAGGTCTGTATGTGTTTGTATGTATTTATATATGTTTGTGTACATATATCTTTGGGGATTATATGGCATTTCTTTCAGTGTTTGGCTGGCAGTGTCCATACTCTCATAGTAAACAGAACTACTCAAGAGTAGAGGGAACGATGGGAAACAGTTTTGCATACCCTAGAGTCTTTTACACATTTTTTTAGGTGCTATAATCTTGTGTGTGAGGTCAGTCTCTCAGGTTCATTAGGTGGACAGTGCAAAAGGTATTATGAGTTCATATATTAATTTATTAAGTAAAGGAAATATTTGGAAATTGAAGAGTAGCTTTTATCTATTAAATAAAAGAATATATGGAAATTGAATGGCACTTTCTATTTGTGGAAAGTCTTAACATTTTAATTTCCTTATTTTAAATTACTAACATTTAATTTCCTTATTGACCTTATCACAAAAATTGGAATTTAAATTTTGCCTGTCACTCAAAGAGAAGCTTTTTAGACATTTGATTGAGGGATTCTAGTAGATGCTATAGTAAACATTTCTAATTGTAAAATGATTAAATTTTCAATTCATGGAGTTTTATGTGGATTTCATTGCCTGATATTCATTTTTTTTATTGGTGAGTTTCATAGATGTTTAAAGGGAGATCCTAGTTTTATTGTGTGATGCTAACGGAGGCCTTTGGTCATAGAAAACTGACTTTAGTACTACCCATTTCCAGGGAGTGAGCATAATCTTTATTCTCGTACCATGTGGGCAAGTGAAGATCTATGGTTTATTTCCTATAACCCGTCATTAGTAATTACGAAAGTAAGAAAGTTGATAAATGAAACTCTTTTAATTATGAGGGTTTCATTTGTCAACTTCTTTACTTCCTCATTGTGCTTCGCATATTGGAGGTAATACTGGAATTGCATGGAATTCCTACTGCTGCTCCACTAACCTGCTAATTTTGTCACATGTACCAGATTCCTTGTCTAGCAATGAAAACAATACACTTCAGAGGTAATACTGCAATTTTTTGTAAGTGCATTTGTCCTGGATGAGTTCTATTATTTTATTTTCGCAAGTAAGATTAGAATTGGTTTTTCAAGCAGTCTGTTAATCCACATGGTGTGAGGCCATAATAATCTGGTTAGTCATCTGAGGTTTCTTTGTCCTTTGTCCAGTATTTTTATACTTCCTCTGTTTTCAGATAACATTAGAATACCCTACTAGGGAAATAATTTAGTATATTTTATGTACTTGTGCATAGTAAACCTGTTGTATATGTACACTATTTGCATGGTTGGCAAATGTACATTTGCACTTTTTATTTTTCTATAATTTTTTTTCTATTTTCAAAGGTTAATGTGGACGAAGAACTAGATTTCATGTAAAAGAGTTTATTCCTTCTACTTGAGGTGTGACTTGAAGGAAAGTAATGGAAATAATTCTGCCCTCCCATTCTCAAGGGCCGGGGGAATTCTAATCTTGGTAAGCATTTTGTCCTGAAAGCACAGACATTGTTCTTCGGGAGTCATGACACTCCCATGACAGTGAGACCCTGGCTGTTCTGGTCTGCCATGAGGCTGGTCACTGGCTGTGATGCTGGTCTCTGTAATTGAATAACGTGAGTTGGCAAGTTCCCAGGTGACAGAAAGATGTGTGTTCAGTGTCTGCCACATATCTCAGACTCAAGGTCCCTTTTATAAATGTGCCTTGATCAATGATGACTTTAAAAAAATGGAAACCTTGGAAATCTGAACCAAACGAGTGACCAAGACACTTCTGTGAGCTGAGGTCCAGCACAGGGACCATACCAGGCAAACACATGGAGGGCGTTCAGTTTGGTCAGCAACTGCTACCAAGACTAACCCATCCGCATATGTTAGAGCAGATAGATGAATTGTACAGAGGCCTGTATATCTTTGGGGATTACATGACAATGATTTAAGTGCATGGCTGGCAGCATTCAAACCCCTAGTAATCAGGCTGGGTGGCACCAGTGTCCGAGGAGTGAGCATTGTAGAACTAGCTGTGCCAGCGCTTGAGTCATTCACACTATTTGCATAGATGCCACAGCATTCTTAATGAGGATCAGCATGTATAGGTATGTTACGTAGTCAATTAGAAAGAAATTGTCAGTCTTTGCTTGTTATTTATTCTTTCACCAAAAGAAATACGTGAAAATCGAAGAGTGGGTTGTATTCATGGGATTATCTTACTATCTGCTGGAATTTGCTTGCTATCTCAGTCTCAAGTATTAGAACAGCATTTGTTTTTCTTTTTCCTGTCACTCAGGGAGCAATTTTCTAAACATTAGATGACAGATTAAATTAGATGCTTCATTAAACATTTTAATGTGAAATAATGAAGTTTCTAATTCTAGGGATTTTGGGAGGATATTGTTGGCTAATAGGTATATTCCTTCATTAAGTCTTTGTATATTTTAAGAGAGATTCTAATATTAGTAATACTCAGGGGGCCTTTGGCCTTTGAGACCAAAATCTTGGAAACATTGATTTTCTATGCTCACCCTGTTCCAAGCAACAAGCAGATTTTTTAGTTATGGAGATAGTCAAGTGATTATGGCTAATTAATTACAAACTGTTGTCAGGAGTCATTCAGTTGGGAAGGTTTTGTTTCAAAACTCCTGTAATGTCCCCTGTGCCTTGCAGAACGGAAGTGATTTTGGAATTGCATGGAATTCTCACTGCCATCCCAAAGAAATGCTGATCTTGTCACTCTCACCTGTTCCGTTGCCTGGGGCAGAACAAAAGGATGTACTTCAAAGGTAACATCCAAGTTTGAATAAATTTACATTTTATGGCTTATTTTGTAATTTTTCTGTAGTCAAGTAGATAATCGGTCTTGTGAATGATCTGTTAATAACAGTGTGAGGCATTAATTATCTGGTGAATCATCCAAAGCTTTCATTATCCTTTATTTCCAATTTTTTTTTCATTCTCCCTTTTCAGTAATATGAAAAACCTCCTAGTAGAATTATGTTAGTATATTTGATATTGATATACATAACAAACCCTCCCTTCTTGTGCATGTTTGACAAATGGACATACATACTTACCATCTTCGCATATTTGTACTGTTTTCACAGAGCGACATGAACCAAGAACTGGGTTTCATATGAAATATTTTATTCTGTCCTCTTGAGATGTGACATGAAGAAAAGTTTTGAGAATATTTCTATCACCTCATCTTCAAGAATCAGTAGGAATTCTCCCATGGTAAGCATTTTGTCCTGAAAATACTGGCATTCCTCTTAGGAGGTCGTGACACTCCAATGACTTTGAGACCCTGGCCATGCTTGTGAGCCATTGGCCAGTCGTTGACTGTGATGCCAGTCTCCATAATTGGATGAATAGTGTGGGTCAGTGTACCCCAAGCTGATGGAAAGCTGTGTGCTCAGTGTCTGCCACATATCCTGGATTGACGATGACTTTAAAAAAAAAAAAAAAGAATCTCACTGAAATCTGAAAAAAATGAGTGACCAGAGCACTTCTGTGTGCTGAGGTCCAGCACACAGGACAGGCAAACATGGAGGGATGTGGATGGTCAGTGCCCATAGGGACTGGGGTATTTGAAAGCTAATCTGCCTGCGTATGTTGAAGGAAATGAATTGGACAGTTGTCTATAAATATCCCATTTTTTAATAAAACGGCTATTCTTTGGTGCTTTGCTGGTAGCATCCATCCACTGGTAGTAAATAGACCCTGGAAAACCAGCACATATGTAGTGAGACCCCATGAGATATGATTGTGCCTACCTTAGAGCCATCCATACAGTTATCTTGGATGTGACAGTCTTTTGAGTGAGAGCAGTTTACTAAGGTCATTTAGGTCATCAGTTCCAAAGATGGCATGGGTCTTATCAATTAATTTTTTTAGGTAGAGGTAATATCTGGAAAATTAAAGAGTGATTTCTAACCGTGAGAATATTTTAGAGTTTGTTTAAATTTGCTTGCTAACCCAGTCCCAAGAATTATGACCTTTTTTTCTGTCTGCATAAAGCAATATTCTAGACATTTGAGTGATTCAAGTAGATGTTGTGAGATGATTACATTTCCAGTCCTTGGAATGTTATGTGGATTTTATTAGCTAATCTTCATATTTCATCAGTGGATTTTCCTATGCATGTTAAGGGAGATCCTTGTTAATTGATATGTAGGTGGACTTTAGGGTTAACCTGAACAGGTCTTGGGAAAAGGACTTTAAACATTCTCCTGTTCTGTGGAATAAGTATACTTTTTTCTGGACATACACCTTGTCAATGAGTATGTATCATAATTGCTCATAAATTCTTATCAGGAACCATTCGATGTGGAAGATTTCTTTCTCAACTTCTCTAATTTCCCCTGTGGTTTGCAGGTTCCATGTGATACTAGAGTTGCGTGGATTTTTAATCTTTACACCAATGAAGATCAGAGGTTAACAGTGCCCTTTTTTTAGAAGTTTGTATTTGTCACTGATAACTGTAATAACTGATCTTGTTGAAAAGCGTGAGAAATGAAGATCTGATATGTCACTTTTACCAGCTTCCTCAACTGAGAAAGAATACAATGAAACATGCTGAGGTAACACCTAATTTTTTATAATTTTTTCCTGGGTTATTACTGTTTTAAGTATTTAGGAATTTAACGGGTGCTATATGGAGTCAGTTAATTCACATACTATAAGATCTTAATCTGGTGAGTCATCTGAGGCTTCTGTTTGTTCTTTTCCAGAATTTTTGTGCTTTCTCAGTCTTGCTGATGATCTTTCTGTGGGCATGAAGCATGGAGAGTGCCAGAGAGGCTGATCCTCAACAGTGTGACAGCGGAAAGTTGGGTGTGACCGAGAGGTATGCGGTGCCCAAATGCCAGTAGGTCCTCAGCAGTACCACCTGGTGAGCATCACTCTGAGAGCTGAGAGGAGGTGGGAAGCAGCTCATGGTGAGAGGGTTTAGAGGCCGCCTTTCCCTCTCTGCACGCTGCACAGTTCTTCTAGTCACATATCCCGGGACAGTACTGTACCTGTGTGTGTCCTGCCTGCATTGCTGTGACCACTTTTGAGTGGAATCAGTACGGTGTAGCTCTGTGCAGCTTCTGCAAATTGCCATGCTCCCACTCTCAAGCAGGTTCAGTGCTATAAGTGATTTTTTGACCATTGTTTCTTTATTCCCTTCTTTTTGTGACTTCTTCCTCCCCAATCCATTGGGTGACCTTTGAAGGTAAAGTAATCCTGAGGTGGTTGAATTGATGGAAATGCTATGCATTGTTGTGAATGGAATGTTCACCAGGCCAACATCTTCTTGGAACTTTGAGCACACTGATAGTCTGGTTGCACATTTGATTTGTCTGGCAGCAAATGTTGGACAGTATTTGGACTGATGGAAGCTAGAGACGAACACATTGACTGTTGTTGAATAACACTGGAAACATCCTAGGAGAGCGGTGTATTAGCTAATTTAATAGGTACATAAACTGAATCCTACTGTCTTGTGCTTGATGGACCAGCAGACACATATGCATGTATTGTTCTCATGTTTCTGCATCTTTACCCTATTCCCACAGGTCAACAAAGACAAGGCACCTAGCCTCACATGAAACTTCATTGCTTTCCCTTGAGATGTGACATGACAGAAAATGTCAGAAATGATTTTTCCATCCCATCCTCAGGGACCAGTGGGAATTAATTTTACCATTACACCTTCAAGGGCCAGGTCAGGTTGCTCAGTGTTTTGTCACTAAAATATTGCCCTTTTTTGGGGACTGTGTAATACTCCATAAGGCACTGTCTGTGCTGGGCAGCATGGAGCCTGGGGCATTGCTATGTTGGGGGCTGGTCTCCATGACTTAATAGGGTGGATCAGTGTGTCCCAGAGAAGTGTACTCCAGAGTGCTCCTTTTCTTTCATGTTTCTGAGGCAAAACAGTGCCCCTTTTAAGAAGTTTGCACGTGTCACTGATAACTGTAATAATTAATCTTGTTGAAAAACCTGGGAAAACAATGCGTTAAATAATAACTCCTCTGTTATTATAATATATATAATAACTACCTGTGCCCTAAACAAACTATATGGAAGGAGAGTTCAGTTTGTTCAGCTGTGTGCTCCCAGCAAGGACTGTGGTACTGGAAAACTAACCAGCTTACATGCACTAGAGAAACTGAATTGGACAGTGACCTGTAGGTACGCAGTTTGGAGATGAAGTTGCAACTCTTGAGTTCTTGATTGGCAACATAAATATGTTGATAGTAAACAGACGCTGGGGAATCAGCACTTGAGTTGTGAAATTGCACTTGAGCCATTCACACTTTTGTTGGAGCTGCAATAATCTAAGTCATGCTTGTTCTCTTGAGGGCAATAAGATGGTCAAAATCCAAGGAGATTTGGGGTTTTCACTTTTCATTTCTCTATTAAGTGAAAAAAGTTATGAACTGAAAAATAGGTGTTACTTATGTAATCTTCATAGTATAATTTAATTAGCTTGCCAGGCAGTCACTGGGATTTAATCAGTTTCTTTTTCATGTTTTCATCAGCTGAGAGAGTAATTTTGTGTGCACAGAAGTACTGTCTTCAGCTACATGCTGCATTAAACATTCCCAGATGTGAAATGATTACATTTCCAAGTTTTTAAAATGTGGATTTTTCTGGCCACTTTTATATCCCTTCAGTGGGTTTCTAATGGATTTAAGGAGAGAGCCTAGTCATAGTGAATGGTGGTGTGTTGGGTATGCTGAGGAACCTTTGAGACCAATGTTTCAGAAAACAATTATTTCTACACTGTCATGTTTCAAGTACCAAGTATCGTTCTTGTCATTCAGATGGTCCAGTGAACATCTCTGGGGAATTCCTTACAACCAACCTCTTGTTACAAAATATTCCGTTAGGAATGTTTTGTTTCTCAACTCCCTGATTTCCCCTTTATAGATCGGAAGTGATATTGGTGGAAGACAACACTTTGCCGCTTGCAATTCTCACCTCCACACCAAAGAAGGACTGTTTTTGTCATTTGCACCAGCTGCTTTCTCCGGGAAAGATCAAAACGATGCACTCCAAGGGTAACATCCAGTTTTTAATACGTGTAATTTCCTGGATTATTTTTGTTGTGTTATTAAATAGCTTAGAATTGTTTTTACAAAGTCTGTTGAACCAAACAGTGTAAGGCATTAATATAACCTGGTGAGTTATTCGAGGCCTCTTTTCCTCTCCTGGAATTTTTGCACAATTTATATTTTGAATAATATCAGAGACATCCCAGTAGAGTAATAAATTAGCACATTTTATATGCAGATACACAGTGAAGCCTCCTTTCTTATGCATGTTTGACAATTGGACATGTATATTTCTCATCTTCCCATATTTTTACTCCATTTCCACAGGTCCACGTAGACCAAAATGTGGATGTCATATGAAAGAGTTTAAACATTCCCCTTGAAATACAAGAGAAAGTATCAGAAATAATTACACCATTCCATGCTCACAGACCAGTGGGAATTCTCACAGTAAGCATTTTGTCCAGGAAATACTGTATTCGTCTTAGGGAATTATAACATTCTAATGGTAATGGTAGTCAGCCATGTGGCTGGATCATTGTTCCTGTATCCTGGTCCCTATGACTTAGTGTGGGCATGGTGTCATTGTGTCCAAGACAGAATCATTAGTGTGTAGTGTTGTCTGCTATCTCAGGCTCACAGTCCCTTTTATGAACATGGCTGGATTGATGATGACTTCAAAATCTTTTGGAAATCTGGACTATCTGAGCAGTAGAATTGCTTCTCTGAAATTGATTTCAAGTCATATAAAAGGCCATGTTACACATATATTGTTAATCTGAGGGAGGTTGTGATCATTTAAGTTGTATTTTATAAGCACTAGGACCACCAGTAAGAAAACAATTCAAAAAATATTAAAAGAACAACCAAAGAATTAAAATAGGATAACTAAAAGATCTGTTTAACACAAAATAAGGCAGTTAACAATGAACAGCGGAACTAATAAGACATAAGACATGTAGAAAACAGGAAAATGACAGACATAAAACCAGCCATATGACAATTATATCAAATTTTTAAAAGAGATTAGGAGATTCTGTTGTTTTTTAAACATGAACAACTATACATTGTCTACAAAAGAGACACTTTAGAACAAAAGATACAAATAGTTCGAAAGGAAAAGATGGAAAAAGCTATATCCAGCAAATCCAGAAGAGAGCAGAAGTGGCTATTCTGACATCAGAATAAAGAGACTTTAAGATAAAGTATTGCTAGAGAGGAAGGAGGATAGTATTTAATGTAGAAGGGTTAATTAATAAGGAATATGTAACAATTATCATATCGGCACTAACAACACTGCCCAAAGTTATATACACTGAAAACTCACATGATTGAGGGGATCAATAGGCAGTTCAACAATAATAACTTTTGTTCATAGCCTCTTCTTAATCACTGATAAGTCAATTAGGTAGAGCATCATTGAGGTTAGAAGATACTTCAGCAATGTTATCAACCAGTTTGACCTGAGAGAGAGAGGGAGAGAGAGAGAGAGAGAGAGAGAGAGAGAGAGAGAGATAGATAGATAGATAGAGAAAACTCCACCCAACAACAGAAATACAAATTATTTTCAAGCATACCTGGAACATTCGCCAGGGTAGAGTATGTGTTAGGCTATAAAACTGTACTCAATAAATTCGAGATTGAAACCATGTAGAGGATGTTGTGTGACCATAGAGGAATTAAACTAGAAGTCAACACAAATACATTTGGAGGTCACAAAATATTTGGAAATTAACACACTTTACAGAGCCCATTGGTAAAAAATCTGTAAAAAGAAACTAGAAAGTCCAGGGGTGGTGGCTCACATCTGTAATTCCAGCACTTTGGGAGGCCTCGGTGGGCACATCACTTGAGGCCAGGAGTTGAAGACCAACCTGGGCAATATGGCAAAACCCCATCTCTATAAGAAATACAAAAAATGAGTTGAGCATGGTGGTGCGTGCCTGTAGTACCAGCTACTCGGGAGGCTGAGGTAGGAGAATCACTCGAGACCAGCAGGTAGGAGCTGCATTGAACCAAGATTGTGCCACTGTACTCCAGTCTGGGTGACAAAATGAGACCCTGTCTAAAAAATAAAAATAAAAAATAAAAAGAATCTAGAAAACATCTTGCATAGAATGTGATACAACTAAAGACATGCTTAGAGGGATATTTATAGTTTTAAATAACTGTATCAGAAAAAAGGGAAGATTAAATAAATGATATAAGCTTCCACCTTAAACAAGAAAAAGACTAAACTAGAAGATGAAATTCAAAGCAAACAGAAGGAAGTAAGCAGTAGGGATTTGAGCAAAAATTGATGACATAAAAAAACAGACAAATTACAGAGAAAAATTTGTGAAACCAAAAGTTGGGTTTGTGCAGAGATTTGTGAAATTGACAGTCCTTTAGCTTGACTGACACAGATCATTAGAATTAGGAATGATGGAGAGGATATCACTACTGACCCTATAGATTGGATCAGGAATGTTGCTGTTTGCTGCATTGTACTTTCTTGAGGGGAGAGCTATGAAGGAAAACAAAATTCTCATTGCACTTACAACTTAACAACACAGCGTTGACATTTTGATTCTCATTGGCTTCATTGCTCATATCTGTGAGGTTTCCAGAAGATCCCATAGCAATATCATTCATTCCAAATTTATCTGTGGGCTACTCAGGGAACACTGTCTGTGGGTTAGCCCTGCTCTGCAAGGAGCAGTAAAAATAAATATATATATATATATATATATATATATTGTTTTTGAGACTTAGTCTTGCTCTATTGCTCAGACTGGAGTGTAGTGGCGCGATGTTGGCTCACTGCAACCTCTGCCTCCAGGGTTCAAGCGATTCTCCTGCCTCAGCCTCCCGAGTAGCTGGGATTACAGGCATGTGCCACCACACACTACTAATTTTTGTGTTTTTTTAGAGACAGGGTTTCACCACGTGGGCCAGGCTGGTCTCAAACTCCTGACCTCAGGTGATCTGCCCTTGGCCTCCCAAAGTGCTGGGATTACTGGCATGAGCCACTGTGCCTGGCAACTGTTTGTAGCCAGTGGGGAATTGTTTTAATTTTGGGAAGCCTCTTGTAATCAAATCATGTATCAACATTAATCACATGGTAAGTGCTCCATGGTTTTCATTCCTAAAGATTCTAGGATGTTTGACATTTCTCTGCTTAGCTTATAGCAGAAAGGTATTGGGTATCAAGAATGTTTGAACAGTTGCTCCTTTTTGGGAATGAAGATGATATTGGGCTAGAATTGAGATGTATGATTGAGAGAATGTCCCTGAGGCCTGAGCAGTGTGCCCTTTTGGGTATGGACATTGGAAGAACGTAGTGAATTCTTATAATTTTATGTTGCCTTGGCATCCATCTTGAATATAAGTTTAACTTTCTTATACTAGAAGCAAGGCTTACTCACCTTTGCATAGTTTCCAGTTCTACACTTCCTCCTCGTTCCTCAGTGTGGTTGGTCCAGATAGCTGCCTTATCCAACTGCCTTCTTTGGACCACTTCACCATGGGACAGCTTGATGCAATCTACCTGACAAGCCCCTTGAACCCCACACCCCTTATGGAGCCAGTGTCCACCTCCCAGTCACAGTGTGACCCCAGGGAACTCATGCCTGCTTGCTTTAGACCCACCACTTAGAAGTCTCCATAGCAAACCTGTTTGAATAGTACCCTTGACCCAGTAAGGGCATTGGCCCATGTGTGTCTCTCTTTCTCTCTCCGTCTCTCTCACTCCCTGACCTCTGCATGTGGACTCCCAGGCATGCCATGTACCCCTCAGGACCTGTAAGTAATACTATCTTGATTTTTGTCTTATATCTCTTCTAATCATTGAAAGGGCGCTCTCTATCTTGAAGATACTATATTAAATAAAATGAGAACTTGACCCTAACATAGTTAGTGACAGGCTGAAACACGCTGATTGCACTCTTTATCTATTTAGTGATTTTTCTCAAGTTACTGCACACCATGTATTATCAACATAATTGATATTATAGAGTGGAATTATAAAACACTTTTGCCACAGAAAGTTCTATTGGTCACAGATTCTAGAGCTACTACATGTATGCTATTCTGTGATAAAAGATGTAGATGTGATAAAAGCATTTATAAAATATAAAAACATTTATAAAATATCTGTCTTAGAAATGTTAGCTAAAATTAGTTTGGGAAAAGTATGTTTGAAAATAGAATTATAAGCTACCACATTTTGATAAATATTTCTAAATTTGTTTATTAACTTATCAGGAGACAACAGAGTGAAGTAAAGAAAACAGTAGCCTTGTATCAGTATGTTTTTATTCGGAAGACAAATGCATGTTTTAACTATTGTATGTTTTTGGCTTAACTTTTTTTGTAAAGTTAAAACTTTACACTTTTACATGAATCTGGAATTTCAAGATGTCTTAAAGGTTGACAGGGACAGGACAATTGAAAACCTGTAAATATATTTGGTAAAATTTATGATGCATTATTTTGCAGATGGCTTCAGAGAGTATTAGCACATCTGTTTGAGATGTGCACAGTTTTACATTTGTCCCTTAGGTAATCAACAAGGCTGAGATCAGTAAATCACATGTAAGCCACTGTATAGTTATATGGCTATTCTGAATAGAGATATATCATTTTATCATATCTAGACTTTCTAGTTATATTAATGCTGTTGAAAATGATTTTGTATTACATGCTTTCTTCCAAATCATAGATCAAGATATTTTATTTATGTATGTCTTTTTAATGAAGAGTGGTTATAGGATAGTCCTGATTATTGCACATAAACATTGCCTTTCACTAGATTATTGTTTGGGGGCAAATTTTAGACTATCGTTTTAAAAAAGAGTAGCTTAGTTTAATCCACCCTTTCCAGATATTTAGAAATTATTGAAATGTATTGTTTTGTAAAGATAGTCTTAAAAAAATTGTTGAGCTAGAAACATGTCCCTCACCAGTGGAATCCTTAGAAGATTTCCTTGGGCTTCACTGGGTGGTAATAGACCATGATCATATTGCTCTGTATATTATGGTGTAAATTTTGTTTTATAACACTTAGTCTTAATAGATTGGGAATATTTTATCTTACTAATGTAGTCATTAGCTGGCCACTCTCTGTGTCCATTGGACCTTACAGAGTAAAGGGAGGGCAGTGCGTATTTGAAGCCTGTGTACGTGACACACAAAGGGCTTAGCAACATCCGTGTTTTCCCAGCACAGGATACCCATACTTCCTGAATGTTTCATTGTTAAATTAGATTGTGTGTGTGTGTGTGTGTGTGTGTGTGTGTGTGCGCGCGCGCGCACGCGCGTGTGGTTTATATGAACATACAGATGTGTGTATTTTAGGTGCATTTTGTTTTCTTTTTTTCTTTTATGTCAAGTGATGATAGAGCCTAGAAGGGAAGCGAAACTGTCCATGCCCTTGCCTTAACTTTCAAATCTGATAAAAACAACATTTATAAAATATCTGTCTTAGAAATATTAGCTAAAATTATATTGGGGAAAGTATGTTTGAAAATAGAATTGTAAGCCACTACATCGTGATATTACTAAATGTGTTTATTGACTTGTCAGGAAGCAAGAAAATGAATTAAAGAAAACTCCAGAGAATGAGCTGACAACTTACTCCCTGGTCAGTGGCTCTCCATGCCTACCTGTGGTTTCTTGGACACCCTTGCAGGTATGTGGGCAGGGAACTGCACATTCATAGGAAACAGGCCTAGGATGGAAGGAGTTGATAGATACTGCTCTTCTTGAGTTTGATGACATTTGGTTCCAGTTAAATAGCATGAAAACCCATCTGATAGCCAGCTGAGGGTGGATACCGTTCTGGGGAATTAAAGGCGAGTGGTCATAACAGGTCTTCCTCGGCAATCCGAGCCCAAAACTGAATCTGCCTCCATAAGACCATTATGTTTCAGCTCTTTATTTGTATGATTGATTCATCCAGTGGACTTTTAATTTCTTATGTCCAGATATTTTTTCAGTTCATTTTTTGTGATACAAGCACCTTGTGGATTGCCTGTCATAGAACAGGTTCTCAATAAACTTTTATTGATAAAAAGATATATAAGTAGATTGTCTTGGTAATTTTGTGAGTAACCTGACCAACTAAGCAGTAGAAAACAAATGATTTTAAAACAGAAAGAGACATAACTTTCAGTGGGGTTCAGGTGATCTAGTCGGGTCTGGAAATGCGCAAGAGAGAAGGTCCCTGATGCAGTGTGCTGACATTGAAATGTGTAGTTATGGACTAGATGGTTATGGTTTCAGAAGTATGTTAATTAAATTAAATCAATATAAAAGAGTAGCAGAGAAGGAATTTCCAGATTCCAGCTGCACTACTTGTTTCATTGGAAGTGGTGTTTCTCTCTTTTTCTTTCTTTTTTTTTTCACCTCAGAAGATGACTTCCTGGGAACTCTTCTGAGAGTGAATGTTATCAGCAAATTCCCGAAACAACACCCCTTAGACAAAAAGCCTCCTCACCTATGCATTGCCTAGGCCACCCACTAAAGGTAAGGTGTTAGTTAAAATAGTCCTTGCTTTCTAGGAGAAGCCATGTCTTAGTAGAAATTGAGCTGTTAAGTTTCTGAATATTGATGATGTTTGATTACATTCTAATTGATTCTGAGATTGCATAATATGTTAAGAGATGCAGCTTTTCTTAATATACCTTCGTGGCTTTTCTACATCTCAGTACATTTACTGTTAATATGAAGGATTTCCTTAACTTCTGTCATCTAATAAACTCAACTCCTTCATGGCTTGATCCATTGTAATGCTAGAAAATTGTTGTACAAAGGAAACACAGTAGCTTCTCCATAACTGTTAGACTGGAAGGTTGACAAACTGGTCTGAAGTAACTGATCAAACAAGTGAATGACCTAGAGCTTTAAGAAACCAGAGAGGAAGAGAGAGACATGAAACCCGAGGTTGTTGATGGCTATTACTTTTTAGCCCAGCAAAAGGAGAAAAAGCAGCATCAGTATCTGGCATCCTTGACATCAGGAAGTTTTAATGTCATTGTTTTGGCCTCATCACGGACTCAGGTGCTAGAAATGAGGTTTTCTCTGTGTACTGTGGGTATATTTGTTCTAGCACAAGTAGGGGGAAGATTAAAGAGGAATTTCATACCCCCATGACTCCTTAGGAAATGTGTTTCTCACCTTTGCCACTTTTCCCCACTGTGTCCTTGCAGGTGATGGCCACAAAGAGGTGGATTTGTTGAGTTGGTGCCATTCCTTCTACTGCCAGCTTCACCAAAACAATGATTCAGTCTTCCTTATGCATGGGGACTCTTCTCTTTCCTGTGTTGCAGTGGATACCTCCTGCAGATAAGAAATGCTTAACTGAGAAATGCTCATGTTGGGATATCATCGATGAGACTTTAATTGGGGCATGGTGACTGTTTCCCTTGCTGCCACTTGACTCAATCCCAGGAGCCTCAGTAGAGGATAAAATATTACACAAGATGCTCAAAATGGTGGAATTGCTCAGTGCTCCCATAAATATACATTTATAATTTTCATTTGCCGCATGGTAAACTGAAAAATACAGAATATATTAAAAAGAAACTCTGCATGATTTTTTTCAAAAATTCAAAGCATATTTAAATAATATATAAATTAAATGCCCTCCTCTCTTCCAATTCTGTCCCTATAGTTTTCCTCTATTAAGTGAACTACATGCATTCTTTTAGTGGATAGATGCACACAAATACACAAGCCATTTTGGGGAAGGATCCAGGAGTGTGGCCATATTGTAACACATTTTTCTGCAAATTACCTCTTTCATTTAACAGGCCTCATTCAATGGCCTTTTTCTTTTTCAGTAATACATACACATCTGTGTCATTTGTTGAATGACGACATGAATGTTTTGTAGAAGAAATATAATTAAATGTTTTAAGCATTTCTCACTCATAGATATTTATGTTAGCACCAAATTTCTGTGCAATGAACCTCCCTATATATCAATAATTTTGCATTTGTCTATAATATCATAATAAATTACTTATCAGTTGAATTACTGGGATTAAGTATGTGCACACTTCATATTTTGAAAATTATTGCAAGTTTGCCTTCAAAAATGTGGTTAACAACTTTATCCTCCAATGGCAATGAATGAGATTGCCAGCTTTCCTACAACCTCACAGACAATGGATTTTATAAATATTTAAAATTTTTGCCAATGTGATCACCCAAACTATTGTCTTAAATTGTATTTCTTTTGTTTTTGAGTTTGGTCATTTTTTCATGTTTGTTAGCCATCTGTATTTTTTAATTTCTTCTTTATGTCCAATTTTGTGGGTGGGAGGAGGATTTAGTCTCTTCCTGATTTCGAAGAGCTCATTTACTATTTCGGGAAATAAGATTTGGATTGTCAACCATTACAGCTCTTTTTTACATACTTTTTAACTTTGTTTTTGTTATAAGAATGTGTATGATTGTTATATGTCCAAGTATAACCATGTTCGCTTTTATGGCTTCTGAGTTTCATGTCATTTTTGGAAAGATATATATACTGAGTCCATAAAACCCTTCACCTATGTTAAATTCTAATTCTTTTGTGTTTTTTTAATTCAAATTCTTAAATCATGAGAAATTTTTTTGTTTTGAAATCTTAAAGTTGCCAAGTTACTTGCCATTACTTGCGATTATTTGCCAATAATTGCCCATTTATCTGTACTGCCATCTTGCGCATATGCTGTACTCTCATCTGTGACTGGCTCCATTTTTGTTCTGTGGATTTGTGTGTCTCTTCTTCTGCCTCCTGTCTCATGTGTCTTCTCGTTGGAAGAAATTACAGTTTAGACTGCAATTTCATCAACTTTAATAAATCAATTGAGGGGAGAATGGTTTTTAAAAATATTAAGTTAAGTCTTCGTATCCAAGGACAAGGTATGTCTTTTCGTATTCAATAATTTTAATTACTGTTAATATTTTCACTCTGGTGATGGGAGTTTTTCTTTTAATTTGCTTTCTTGTTCATTTTTTGTATCTAGTTTTTGTTTTGTTTTGTTTTGTTTTGGGGGTAAGTGGTCACCTTACTGTTTCTTGTTGCTTTTCAGATTTTTTCAAAGTATAGACTAAATCCTTTGCAAATATTTAAAGTTTTTATTTCCCCCCTTCATATTGATCCTGATTTTAGTTATGTTGACAAAGTCCACAGACTGTTACTATCAGAACACTTGAACAGTTATGGAAATATTACCCACCCTTGATTTAATCAGGGTTTAATGGTATGCTTCTTTGGTTTGACTGGCACATTGTTGCTGGTCATTTTCTCCCAAAGACCACCAGAAAGAGCTATGATCAAGCAAAGCTGAGTTTGTTAAACTTACCTGCAGCAAGGGAAAACACCACCTTGATAGGATTTAATAATGTTTCAAAATCAAGAAAGGCTTTGGGGTCTGGGCAGGGAACTAATTAGAAATGGGCAAAATTTGTCATGCAATACTTTAAGATTGGTGGGAAAGTGAGATGAGGTTCTTAATGTGAGGATTGATGGTCAAATCATTTTCTAGGTGAGCTGTTTGCCTGTAGAAATATGTTATCAATGATAGAAGAACTATTTGCCTAGATAAGCAAACTGAATTTATTTACTGGTTTACAGTTTTATCTTGCTGGGCAGGACTCTGCTGGGGGTGGTATCAGGTCTTATTCCCAATAGGTAAGTTATTTTGATGTGGGTGGTCTTAATCATCAATGTGTGAAATGCTGATTTTTAAGTGCGAAATACTTTGTCTACCATGTTAGGAAAGTCTCCCACCTTTTATATTTTGTAAGGAATTTTAATCAAAACCAGGTGGGTAGATATAATCAAATTTTTTTTGCAGAATCTGTGTTACTGTTCTTTTTAAAGACTTTTATCACTATGAATTAATTTACTGTTATTGCAACTTCCTTTTATTCCTTGAATGAACAGACCCTACTGGTTTTAAAAATGTTTTATTCTTTTGATTTACTACTTAATCGTGGGTATTTTAATTTGATTTGGAATTTTTACAAGTCTACAACTAAGTGAAATTGATCTGTGATTTTTCTTTTTTGTGCTCTTTTTGTCGTGTTTTGATATCAGATACTCTGGTTGTGTTAATCGTTTTGAGGATTTTCTTATACTGTGTTCTAGAGTGGGTGGAAAAGCTCTCACCTCACTATCAGTGTTGAAATCATCTGGACTCCCCTTTGTTTTTGGTGGTTTGGAGTTAGAAGAGAGGCTAGAAGTTTTTTTTTTCTTTTCCTTTTTTTGTATGGTTATTGCTTGTTCTTTGTTTTGTGTCTTAAATTTAACCTGTGTTATCTTAGCAAATCACAGTTCATACAGATTTTCAAACACATTTGCATTAAGTTATACAGTGTTCTTTCATCATTCTATTACATTTCTCTTGTTTCAATTATGTATTCATTTTCATTCCAGTTATAGTTATTTCTGCCATGCCTTTGTTAATGAATAAGTTTAACTAGTGGATGTTTAGCATCACTAGCCTTCCCCTTCCCTCTCCCTCAATCAGGTCTTTGGTATAATTTATCAGGTATTTTTTAAGGTTCTAATTTACTTGTATATATTGGTTCTGTATTCTTTTATTTCTTTTCCTAATAAATTCTTAAACATGTGTAATACATTCATATTCACTTGTTCTTGGCAATGAAAGATTTACCCCACTGTGCATTTTATAAAACTTTTCATTATGAACACATTGTAAACATACAGTGTATAAGGAGAAGAAAACAGTGAACTAGCACATACAAGGAACTGGAACTGGTTCCATCATTATCAACATTTTGCCATATTTACTTCGTGTTAATTTTAAGTATTTTCAAATAAGCTAGAGAAATAATAACACTTCTTATTCTTCTATAAACATTTTTACAATTTTTTTTAAATGTGTATGTATATACACTCATGTTTTATACTATTCCATAACTTTATAGCTTATGTAATATATAAATATTTTAATATTTCTGATCATTACATATCCATAGATGTGGAGCTTCCCTATTTTTAATGACTTATATTTTTCCATAAGTAAAATTTACATAGTTAAATGCATTGATATATAGTAATTGTATAATTCAGTAAGTTTTCTTAAAAGTAATTACTATCCCATTCAGAAGACAGAATATTTTTATTACTTGAGAACCTACCCTACCGCCTCTTTACAACCAAGCACCTTCTCAAAAAAACAACGTTGTGATTTCTACAATCACAGATAAGTTTTGCCTCTTTTGAAATTAATATAAATGGAATCACACTGTGTGTCTGGCTTCTTCCACTCATCATAATCATGTTGAGATTTATCCATGCTATTCCCTATATGAGCAGTTTAAAAAAATTTTTATAGTTGTAATATTTCTCTAAATGGTCATATTGCAGTTTATCTACTCTCTTGTTGATGGACACCTGAGTAGTTTCTAGATTTTAGCTGTTTTGAATGTTAGCAGACCTCTTATGTAAATACCTAAAAATTGAATTGTTTGATAAGACAGATTTTTGCTTAACTTATAGAAAACTGCTAGAGAGTCTTCTAAAGAAGTGGACAGTTTTCACACTCCCAACCAGTGATATGAGATTTTTAGTTGCTGTCCATTTTTGCCAACATTGAAAATTGTCAGTCTTATCTATTAACTGGGTGTGAGCTGACATTTTGTTGTGACTTCAATTTGAAATTTGACCGCTTAAGAAGGCAACCAGTTTTTCATGAAGTTATCCAATTGTAAATCTTCTGTAGTAAAATTTGTGTATTTTTCCCAACTTTTAAATTACAATTTTGAAGTAATTTTGGACTTACAGGAAATTTGCAAAAATAGTAGAGTTCCTGTGTATTCTGTACCCAGCTTTCTGATTTTATATAATCATTATTATGACATTACATACAATGATTGAAATCAGGAAATTAATATAATACTATCAACCAATCTGCAGACTATATTCAGGTCTTTCCAGTTACCCTATTAATGTCCTTTTTATCTAGTCCAGGATCCAATTCAAGATCCCTTATTGCATTTATCTGGCATGTTTCCTTTGCCCTCTCTCCTAACTACAAATCTGGGAGAGTTCCCTCAGTCTTTCTTTGTATTTCATTAAATTGACACATTTGAGAAATACTAAATCATAATTTTGTACCCTAGTCCTCAATTTGGATTTGTCTGATATTTTTTATTATTAGATTAAGGTTATGCACTTTTGACAAAAGATAACACAGCAGTAATGGTGTGCCCTTTTCAGTGGATTGTATCTGGGGTACATGATGTCAGTGTCTTATTTCTGCTGATATTAAATATCACTTGATTAAGGTAGTGTCTGCCAGGTTTATCCACTGCAAAGTTACTGTTTTCCTTTCTTTGTAATTAATATTTTGTGAAGAGATACTTTGAGACTATGCAAATATTTTATTTCATCTAATTTCAGTAATAATTGAAGATTCTTGCCTACAGCAATTATGATTATGGTGTAAACCTAGTGATGGTTTCTATTTCCATGATATTTTCTCTACGTATTAGAATTTGACTGTAAAGATCTGTCCTTCTTCCCCATTTATTTGTACTCAGTTGTTATTTTACATCAGTGTGGATTTGTGCATATATCTTACTTTATGGATTGTTATATATTGCAATCATTATTTGTGTTTGATTTTCATTTTTTTTTCCTGGATTTGATCATTGGGAGCTCCTTTAAGTTGGCCCTGTGTTCTTTTAATATAACCCCATAATTTTTTGACCACTTCTTATTTTCTGGTATCACAAGATGTTCTAGGTTTGTCTTGTATTTTCCTTCCCCAAGCCTGTAATCAACCATTTCCTCAGCGAGTTCTAGTTCTTCATATTGAGAAATAGTATTTAGAAACCAAGATCTTGTTATTAAGTGTATTCATTGCTAACGGGGTTTTATTGCTTCTAGGCCTAGAGCTCGGAGCTATGTGTCCATTTACACACACACACACACCTATAATGTCTCTGTCCACTTATCTATCTTAAATATATATACCAATAATATATAGAATACTATAGATAGTATATATCTATCTTTATTAAAAATCACAAGTTCATACTGTTATGATTATAATACATCATCATAATGTTCATTTTATTCTTTCGTCTTGGCTTGTGATTTGTTTCTTCAACAGTGAGAAACCTACCTTTCATTATCTACAATATGTTTTGTTATTTCTTCAGTGCGGTATGTGCTTAAAGTAATTTCAGAATTTCTAAATTATACCCGTTTAAAAATGAAATCACTGACTACAGCACGGTATTTAAATATAGTTCTTTTTTCTTTATCCTTAACAGTGTTCGGTCAACATACTGTTTCTAAACGTATTTAGGTTAGTTATCTTTTTTTCCTATCCCCTGCAGTATGGTTACATTAATCATATAATCAGTCTGGTTTTTTTTTTTTTTTTACTCTTTATGTTCCATTTTGAGTTCCCTCACCTTTTGGATTAATTTAACTATATTTTGTATATGTGAAATATTACTGTGGTTCTAAAAATTAGGATTGTGAGAAATATCACTTCCCCATCATCCCTGCTACAATGATTCTATTCCTCCCTTCTTTCCGCCCTAATCTCGCCCAACCCCTCGAGTTAACTAGTCTAATAGTTTCTGATTTATTTTTTTCTTTTTTTTCTTGATCACAAATGGGCAGATACATATCTATTTTATCATATCCCCTTCCTTCTTACATGATTGGTGGTATACTATAGATTTTTTTTGCAATTTTCTTTTTCCACTTAATATGTCGTGGAAATCACTTCATGTGTATTCAAAGATATATTCCTCATTCTTTTATGCTTGGTATGGTTAACTCTATGGATGCACCACAATTTATTCAACCCCTCAGCTCTATGAAAATTGTTTGCAATATGTGTAAAGTATCACACTACAAATAGTTTTATATTGGATTGTTTATTCCCTCTTCATTTGGAAGCGTTCTTTGTATTACTGGGACATACATTTCTTGTTCAATATATGTGTTGCAAAGGTTTCTTTCATTAAGTATCTTAGCCTGCCTGCCTTTCTTTCCATTTCCTTTCTTTTTCTTTTCTTTCTTCTCCTTTTAATGCTATTATGCTCTAAATTTTAAAATGGCCCAAATTTGCCAGTGGCTCATCCCTTATTGCTATTTATTCTCCCTTTCCTTTTGTCCCCCACATCTTTTCCTTTAATTTAGGTGAAATTAACATAACGTAGCCATTTAGTGCATTCAAAATGTTTTGCAACTGCCATCCTTAACTAGTTGCAAAAACATTTTCAGCACCCCAAAGACAACTCATACCCATTAAGCAATCAGTTCCAACTCTCTTTCCCTATCTTTTCTTTTTTTTTTTTTTTTTTTTTGGAGTTTTTTTGAGACAAGGTCTCACTTTGCACCCAGTCTGGAGTGCAGCGGCACAATCATAGCTCACTGCAGCCTCAAACTCCTGGCCTCATGCAGTACTTCCACCTTAGCCTCCCGAGCAGCTAGGACTATGGGCATATGTCCCTACACCAGGCTAATTTATAAAAGAAAGTTTTTAGACACAGGGTCTTGCTATGTTGCCCAGGCTTGTGTCTTTTGATAAACAGATATTTAAAATTTTTAAGTCCAGTATATCAGTTTGAGTCTCTTGTTTTTAGTGCTTATTACTAACTTACTATTAAGTCTTTGCTTCAAGTTTGCAAATAATAGTTTTCTAAGTTTTCTTCTGGAAGCTTTGGGACGTAAATATAACTTGTATCTCAAATCATTTTCAAATGTAGTTGAAGTTACTTGTTTTCATGAATCTCCAATTCTTCCAGAACCATTTGCTCAAAAGATTTTTCTTTTTCTACTGAATTATCTAATGCCATTGTTGAAAATAAATTGGCCATATACATATGGATCTTTTTTGAACTTTTTCCTTCTTTATGCCATTCTTTTTCACTGAACTTTAATAGTAAATCTTGAGATTAAGTAGTGTGAGTCCAAAATGTTGTTATTTCAAGGCTTTGTAGAAGAAGGAGATGGCTACACTGGGTCCTTTGTATTTTCACTTAAATTTTAGAACTATCTTGTCAATTTCCTAAAAACCCCAACTGAGAAATTGATTTTTATTACATCAAAACTATAGATAAATTTAGGAGGAATTGATATCTTAACAGAGAGTCTACAGTTCTCCATTTATTAGGTCATCTATAATTTCTTATAGATATCTTTTATAGTGTTTAGTATAGAAGCATACCTTGGGCCGGGCGTGGTGGCTCATGCATGTCATCCCAGCACTTTGGGAGGCCAAGGCGGGCAGATCACGAGGTCAGGAGATCAAGACCATCCTGGCTAACACGGTGAAACCCCATCTCTATTAAAAATACAAAAAATTAGCCTGGCATGTTGGCAGGCGCCTGTAGTCCCAGCTACTCAGGAGGTTGAGGCAGGAGAATGGCGTGAACCTGGGAGGCGGAGCTTGCAGTGAGCCGAGATCGCGTCATTGCACTCCAGCCTGGGTGACAGAGCGAGACTCCATCTGTTTTCAATAAAGAAGTATTATTAAAATTTAACGTTTAATAAATTAGATAAAATTAAATTGTTAAATTTCATTTGTGGTTTTGATGCTATTGTAAATGAATATGTTTAAATTTTGTTTTTCAGATTTTGTTACTAT